CCCCGTGTTTCCCCACCTGTCATATTTTTCCCCGTCATAATATCTCCCCGAGCAGACAAAAACTACCCCCGTCCAGAATCTCCGCCCCGTTTCGGTATCTGATTTAAACTATTTAAATTTTAGATACATATGAAAGAGATTATATTATAAGAGAACGAAATTTATGAAGAAAATCACAGTTTCACTTACTTCATGATGGATTTTAACAGTGAAAATCAAAATACAATCATCTATTAAAGTATATAATTTTGCTTTATTACGAAAGTTGTTGAGTAATGTACGTTAAGATTTTCATATACGAATCAAATCTTTTGCGAGTTATAATTCAATATTAATAATAAAAGGACGTCGTTGTGAGACAGAAAAAGTTTAATCTAAATACTTCGTATCACTAGATCATTCTTTTATTATTGATTTCTAAACTTTAATGACGTACCAATTGAACGCTACGTGATGTAGGATAGTACTACTCAAATTTTTTATTACGATTGTGCAGATCTATATAAGATATACCAAAATGTTTTTGAATGTCTACCTAGAGACATTCACAAGATTTATCCTAATAAAATTTGCATATATTAATGATTTTTTACGTAAAAACCTGCTTAAATGTATTTCTGAAGAATAAAACTGTTAGAGTGTGATGTACTTATGTCTCATTCCAGGTATTTTGCAACAAGTTGTTGAGAAAATTGTTTTTCCTTTTCCTTTTGTTTTTATTTTCTAATTTCAGTTATTTATAACCATTTCTTTGGAAATAAAAGTTCCATTGTTAGTATCGATCAGAAGATTGAAAGTTCCTCTAACAAAAACTTGTAATGAAGAAAATCATCTAAGTAAAAACCAAAAATTCATTTGAATTTGATTTTTGCATTCTTTTTAAAATGGTGTAATATAATATTATTCAAAGTAGATAATTTTGCTATGCAACTGAGTATATTTAGAAAAAGCTGTGTAGCGCAATCCCTGTGGGATTAAAATGTGAAGCACGATGAGACTTCTTTTCTGGAGTTTGTCTATCACTGTCACTAATGGTCTGTGGAGCTTCTCTGTTATGGTCAGACATTGAATACTTAGTACAATACTTGGTACTTTTTCGTACTGAGTACGTAAAATCCTAAGTACCAGTACATTTTTTGTAGTAAAAGTACATGCACTTTTTACTTTAAAATTGTACTTTGTACTTATACTTAAGTACATTTGTACTTATTACCGGTACTCAGTAAAATGTACTCAGTACAAAGCTGGCACTCTTAAAACAACCCTTTCATGTATCCTATTTTCTATTTTTTCTTCTTTGCATTGGGTTCTAAGTGTTTTTTATCTGTTAAATGTACTTTAATGATTCCAAAACGACTCTAAAATCGTAAATAACAGACTAATTGCAACTTTTCTCAAATATTCTTTAAAGATGACTAACTAATATATAAATTCTATGAATTGAGTACTTGTGTCAGATTCCATGANGCATTATTATTCGCTGTCGTCTATTATTACGACTTCCTTTGATATGTTGGCGTCAGTTATACACGTCAGCATTCTATCCTGACGGTTATTTTCTTGTCCTGCCTATGTCTTTGTCTATATAAATATGCATTGCAAACGCAAGAATCGCACTTTCTAACATTTGTTAACTCAAATACAACACGTACAATTGTGCTATCAAATGGCTCACTAAAACATGTAAGTAAAATATGAGACAGAGATGGATAGGAGCAATCATTTTTTAATAATGTCAATTTTTCTCTTTTCAATAAATTATTTCGACTGCATTTATATTAAATCTAAAAAATCTTCAATATACTTTTTGTAAATTATTTCAATCGATAATGATTGTATTCTTTGTCTTCATTATTAAACTTGTTCTTATAAGTACTATTTATAATGCATTTCGCTCAAACGTATTGAACATTTAGCTATAATCTTTAATTCCAATTGTTTTTTTTTTGAGCAAAATTTGAAATTAATTGCGTTCATTTTAAGGCACGGTATATGCAAGTTTGAAACGAATCAAAACTTTCAATAGGATGTTGTAATTAATGAATAGATTCTTTTGTTTTCATCCTAGCATACTTTTATCTTCTATATAAATAGTGAATCACTCCCTAGTCGAACATCTTGTAAGCAAGATCTTCAAATATTGGGATCGGCAAGCAAGATCTTATCAAGATCTTGAAAAGATAATTTGTATGTACATATATTGGTTGTATCAGATAAATCTATACCAAAGATCTTGGCAAGATCATGAAGAATAGATCGTTAACTATTATCTTCTGATAAGATCTTGAACAAAACAGAAAGCGACATCATTAGTGTATTTACATGCTCTCTAGTCATTCACCATTTTTTAATGCATACACAGCTGTATATATACACAGCATGATTGAACATAACTTATGAAGCACGAATTTTCAAAACTTATTTTTCTCAACTATTTCTCGACTATTCGAGAGAATGCTGATCTCGATCGATGATCGAGAGAGGACTTCCTAATTGGTCCGACGGATATCGGTCCAACTTATAGTCAGTCAGATCCCAACATCTGACTTGCTGGAGTTATTCGGGAGGAATAATTAAAATGAAAATAAATTGGAAAAATTTTAAAGAATGTAACCGGTTTTATTTTATTGTGCATCCAAGATTTTATGGATTTTTATGTAAGATCTGTAATTAGATCTTTGGTACAAGATAATACAGTTATCTTGTACCTAAATTTCCAAGATCTGTTAACATGTTTGTACTTTGTATCTTGACCAAGATCTTGCTTACAAGATGTTTGTCTGGGGGCTTGTAGCAACCTGAAAAATTTCATAATAGATTGAAAGTACTGTCTATCATGCGCTTTATTTAATAATAGCTATCATATGAGGCTTTTTTCAACCGTTGGCAATGATTCATATGTTGGCGTGGTTCAGGTTTGCTGTTTTGCGTTTGTTAAACATGCAATTCTTTTCTCATTTAGATTTCATAAATATTATAGATCAATCTATAGTTTTTAGCTATACAAATAAGCATCCTTTTTTATTTGAGATATAGTTTATTGAAATGAACATATTTCAAAGATAATATTATTATTTTTATTGTAGATAATATTTCGTTAATTTTTAAAAATAGAAAGAAAAGAAGCTAATGGCTGGGCATTAAATAAAATTACAATCGAGTGATGGTGATACATTTGATGTTGAGGTTGAAATCGCTAAACAATCAGCAACAAGAAAGACAATGCTCGAAGGTAGAATAAAATCGTTTTAATATAAAGAAAATAAATAATAATTTTCTTATAGATCTCGGCATGGATGAAGAAGAAGGTGTAATTCCATTACCTAATGTTAATTCAGCTATTTTTAAAAAAGTAAAACTTTAAAATAGTTTCTATTTTTGAATAAATAATTTCAATAGATTATTCAATGGGCAGCTCATCATAAAGATGATCCACCTCCAATAGAAGATAATGAAAATCGTGAAAAAAAATACCAATGATATATCATCACGAGATCAAGAGTTTCTTAAAGTTGATCACGGAAAACTTTTCGATCTTATTTTGGTACGTTACAATTTTTAATACATTAAACAATTTTTATTCTATTCATTTTGTTACTAGGCTGCTAATTATTTAGATATCAAAGGTTTACTTGATGTAACATGTAAAACAGTTGCAAATATGATCAAAGGAAAAACACCAGAAGAAATTTGACGCACATTTAATATTAAAAATGATTTCACACCTCAAGAAGTGCATACACTTTTATTTTGTTTGATTTATTGTTTACAATATATTTTTGTTTCTCTTAGGAAGAACAAATAAAAAAGAAGAACGAATGGTGTGAAGACAAATAGTTAATTTCGCTGCTTATGGTAGACATGTGCAAAATTGATGCGCTTCTTTTATTTTTATTTTTATTTTTATTTTTGTTTATATTTCATATAATACTGATGTATGCATTATCTCCTTTAATAAATATATTATTTCAGCCTTTTTTAAAATTTTGTCCTGAGCATGAATTCATGAATCTCAATTATACATGAAATTAGAAATTTCAATTGTTCATGAAATCTGCACTACGACAGATTTTCAATTAATTTTAAGATACTAAAATAATTGTTTCTATTTAGTATGAAAAAGTCTTTGTGAGAGAAGATGAGATTTGTCTGTTTATCTATTCGAAACGGCAGGTCGCACACCCCGGTCGAAGAAAACGATCAGTAAACAGTCGTATACGATACAAATACGGCAGTTTACGGTAATGTTACGCCGATTTACGGTGGTCCGTTTTGATCGACTTGGGCAGGTAGATGAGAGTTATCTTCTCACTGTCGTGTAGAACAAATTGACTATGCGTAAAATATTTCAACCATTTTTACTAAAACTCGATGGGATCTCCGAACTTCGCCAATATGACTTTCGCCAATTATTGGCGAGTGTCCACCTCACTTTAGCCAATTGGCGAATGTCCATGAGGTATAGTGATGAAAGTTAGCGGGAAATTCGTCAATATTGGCGAATGTATGAGGGACATTCACCAATATTCACGATAATTTCCTCGAAAAATTCACTATAATAATAACAGGCGTTGAACTATTCAGCTATGAATCAAAAGCTGATGCATGTTCGGCCAGTCGTCAAGAAGATAATAGAAACTGTATTAGAATAGGAAAGAGGCTATATTATATATAAATATAATTTGCTCTAATAATTGAGAATGTCCATATGACTTTCGCCAATGGCGAAAGACCGATTGGTGAAAGTCATATTGGCGAACTTCGGGCTACTCAAATAAATGTATGCTATAGAACGGCAGAAAGAACTGCTTTTTGATCAAACGCAGATTATGCAGTTTGATGCTAAAGTTTTCACTCTTCACCAGACCGCATCGAGTCCAAAAATTTATGGAACCGGACCCGATCGATCAAGATTATTGAACTCAGATATTAGTGCTCAATTTTTCCGGGGTTCACAATTTACAGATACTCGTAAAACTCAAGAAACTTTTCTAATCGGGCAAAAAAATCTTCTACTTTTAATCAAAAGTCAAAGACTTTTTGAATAAAACGAACAAGAGTTAGAAAACATTGATAAAATATTATTATATGGATCAAAATTTCCAGACCCATACCCTACTCACGAACCCGATGAGCTCTATATGTGGGTGACATTTCGATGATATAATTCAATAATGTCGACGTATGTACTTGATCAAAAGATGCTCAACAACATGATCATTTTTTTCTTTCAAGTGGAACTAAATTAGCATTCCTGTAACTGTTTAAAGTGGTTGCTAAAACTGTTTTCTATTTTTTCGATGATCAGTTAGATTTTATTGGGAACAAAAAAATTCTCAGACATGACTAATTCAATCATGAAGTGTTATTTTTTTAAATTTATTCAATAGGAATTGTGTTTTCACATGCTGAACAACTGCATGTGAGAATAGTTTTATAAGGTTTCCATATAGTTGTGGAATATCCACTTGAATCAGTGCATATCAGTTTAACTTGTGCTGTTGATGTTGTCGCTGGTGCGCAACAACGACAATTATTTTGCGGAGAAGAAAAACCAGACATTGAATATGATATGCAACCCCCTAAGCATTGCTGTTGAGAGATCTTTTCAGTTGATGTACAATTATCAATAGTAACAAAATCTGCTGGCAATATATTAATTGAACAAATTTCTGGTTCTACAGAAAAATAAATACATAAGTGTTTATAAATCTAATCGAAAAATAATTACTAGGAACTCTAATACATGAACCACAACATAAGCCATCTACTGGTGGTGTATAAATGTATGTAAATAATGGATCTTCAATTTGAGAACAGGTTTCATTAGTAACACCACAATTAGTAACACACTCTTCGTTTGTTAAATTCAAACATGTGCATGTTGCACAACCTTTTTGATAATTTGATGTTACTGTACTACATGGCCGAGTTTCAATTTTAGTATCATTGTGATAACAATTGGATCCTTGTAAAATTTGATAACGAGATTCAGTACCATTACATGGAGCTGAACATTCACCAAATGGAGACCAATTCGACCATGTACATTGTTCGATACACGGAACTGAATTACATGTAACACAGCCATTTTGACAAGTGCTGCAAAACAATAAGATTTATTTATCAATAATATTGAATAATTTTCCCGTGTCGCACAGTTTTTTTTACTACCGCGGTACTCATAATGGCCGGTAGTTTATCGGCGGTAGCGCTTATAAGCCCCGGTCCCAGCTGGAAAGGCTTCCAGAAACCGTTTTTTGTCAAATCCCGATTTATTTCGGAAAAAAAAATTCGAATTAATGGAAAACAAAACTATTTCAGAATGTATTTTGCGAATTATTATTTTTACAGCGACATCTTTAATAAAATATTTATCTCATAAATGAGACTGATTTGAGATCTGTGGCTACTACAGGCGGCTCAGGCACATCGATATTATCCGAGTGCACCGAATTCAACACGGCTCTCCCGGTTTTAACAGACTTGAAAAATATTCAGTCGTTTCTATACTATACAAAGGGATGGACCACTTTCATGAAAAACCAGCGGCATACCGGCGATAGAGAGCACATTATACCGAACGGGAAACCGTCGGTATACCGCTAGTTTTTTTTCGGTTTGAATCATATAGGTATTAATATTTACCATTTTTGGCATGTATCAGCTACATTAATTGTTTGTCCTGCTAATAATATTCGACCGTTGTACATACATTGACATGCGGATGGCATAACACAATTTCCATTAGCGTCCATTACTGTATCGTTAGCACAGATACATCCTGTTTGACAAATTTCAGGTTCCGAACATTGCCCATTACAAGTTAATGTTGAACATGATGTATCACACGAATTTGAACAGTTACTAAGGACTTTACCGCCTGTACACGTACCATTTGTGCATGGAAGAGTATTACACGGTTCAGCTTGTGATGATGCACCTCCACAGGGTGCTCCATCACATTGTGGTGTTGGTTGATTACATTGACGTGTACGTACTCGTTCACCACCATTGCAATCAGCCGTACAATTATTCCACGGTGACCATGGCGACCAATTACCATCAACTAAAACAGATGAAGAAAATACCTTTTTTTTATTGTTTTTGTTGATAAGAGACTAATAACCTGAACAACAACCAATGTTACAATCACGAACTTCAATCAGTGAATCTGTACAATTTGGTTGTTGCGATGTGAAATTTCTTGTTCTTATTTGTGAGCCCAAACCACACGATTTAGAACATGGTGTAAAATCTGTCCATTCAGTTGTTAAGCATGCGCCAACACATGGCAATGACGAGCAAAGTAAAGTTTCAATATCTGAACCAATACAATCTGTGCCATTACCCGCAGCTGGAATTTTACCTCTTGATCGAGTTTGATTTCCATTACCACCACATGTAATGTTGCAAGATGTCCACTCAGTCCATGGTTCAAATTGACAGTCTTCTAAAAATCAGTGTTAGTTTGTTTAGTAAGTACAATGAATGCTAATAGAAAATTCTTACTGCTACAATTTGCAGTCAAAACAGTTACTAGACTTGAATCTTTGCAAATAAATTCACTGCAATTATATGAATGAACTATTGTATTATTATCCAAGTGGTCACCAATATAAACGGATTCGGTTGAATTTGTATAACCTGTTTGATCATCTTTTTCAATCCAACCAACAAAATCTAAAAGCGTCGTATAAATGAGTTTAATACTAAACATTTCTTTCTGATTTTAATGTTTACTGTCAACAGGAGGAAGTTTTTGAAATGTAGAAATATAGATGTCTTGTGTGAATATGCATGGGCAAGGCTCCATTTGGCAAATGCGCGTTTCTAACAAAGGCTCAGTACAAGATCCGGCCATAGCATTACGAGCACGCATTTGTTGCCCTTGGCCGCATGTAACTGTACATGATGTCCAATTCGTCCAATCGGAATAGATGCATTTGATTGAAGTTATTGATACTGGATTAATCGTGGTGAAAAAAGGCGTACCAGATGTAGTTGGAAGTTCGCTTGCAGTCACTAGCGAAGTAAATGGGATTGTTGATGTAATTGTGCTTGCGGATGGTGTCACCGGTTTAGTACATGCCACAATCCCAATGGTGACCTATTTTAGAAATAAATAAAACGTTAACATATTAGAAATATAACTGCGTGTCATAAGTTCATATACAGATTGATCTTACAAAGTCAAATATCCTTTTACTATTCTATGTAGTCGATTCAACAAATGGTACAACATACTGTTCATACTGACATCAAGTAAATCTACGTTAAGAAGCTCTATTTCTATGAACAATTACCCCGTAGAAAATCCAATACACCGAATTTCTATGTCAATAGCGCACCAACTAAATGAAGTCTTGTTAGGTTCCTGACACTGCCGAGAAACTTTTAAAAATACTTAACCTGCCAACTATTTATACATAGTGGTCCTCTCTAATGAAAAAAATGAATTCCATCGAACGTGTCAAAATCAAGCGCCAAACAGCGATGCTGTTAGGTAGCCAACACCAACCAATCTTTAACCAATCAGTAATTGAGAAGAGAACATTTGCTATAGTCGACAAAAATACGACAGCCACATAGACCGGATTTCACGAAATCGGTAAACATAAAACACGGATTCCACTATTAACTTTTGCTCAGCCGAAAACTCAGAAGTGCTAACAGATGCGCAAAGATCGCATGACAATATACCCTGAGCAAAATGAAGCTTTCAAGCAACACTGGGAGTTATCAAGCTCATTTGAAAGGCACACAGAGAGTACTGCAAGAAATGCTAAGTCATATCTGAATGAAAAGCAAAACTGAGAATATCGAATATAATTGTGACAGATACATTCAAGAACTTTATACGCAAATCTTAAAACAGCTCTATCAAGCCAGCTGTTGTTCCTCTATATGAATATCCAAAAAGCATTAAGCTTCATAAAATAAAAGATACACAACCGCAGCAGCAAGCACGCTGCGCTACCTGCTGAAGATGAACTGCATGCACTAAACCATAAGCAATTTTTTCACCTACCTGTTATCAAGCCTAGCATCAATTTTTACGCCATAATAAGAAATAGAATGCAGTCACTCCTTCAGTACACTGTCGTCACATCCTACCCTGATAAATTCAACTCCAGAATCATCCCGAACTCATAAAGTTATGTGGCCTTGAAACTAATGACATCACCAGCTATCAGTAGTACCATTCGCGAAAAAAATAATAACTATTGCAATGTCCAAAACCACGTCATTATCCGTTTTCAAACATCACCTAACCGCTCATTTCACAAAGAGCCACACACTCTTTCTTCAGCACATAAACCACTTTCATTCAACTCACTTTACACTGCCCAAGATTCGTATATCAATTACTTGCGAAACACGTCCTCCACATTCTAAAATACACCAGCGCTCCTACAAAAACATTCGATTTCACACACGCCGACCTCTCCGAACTCTACATAGAACTAAACCTGCAACCACACCAGCTCACTCTTTCAAGAAATATAACAACTTTTCACCATGCCAGTTCGGCCCAAATCCATACAACATTGAACAAACAATCCATCTCCACAATTCACGAAGCTTTCATCACAACACCATCAACAGTCCAGAGCTCCCGCACATCCACAACTCAAACCACCCAAAAAAAAACTATACATATGCCACAAAACGAACCTCGACAACCACACTCCTTCACCGAGAAAAATAACCTGCGAACCACTTACCTCTTTAGCATAGGCACCATCCACAGTTCCCGAAATATCCACAACGATTATAGTGCCATTTGGTAGGTGGAAGTTTGGTGGTAGATTAACCCGAGGAGAAGCATCTGAGGGTGGAAATACAACTGTTGTGCTTAGAGTTGTTGTTGTACCTGATGAAATCGTTGTCTCAGTCGTCGATGGAATTTCAGAACTAAATTGTGATGTAGTACTACTATCTGGATACACAAACTTAACAATGAATCTGTTAACATTGCTTGGTCGATCTTGTNATTATAGTGCCATTTGGTAGGTGGAAGTTTGGTGGTAGATTAACCCGAGGAGAAGCATCTGAGGGTGGAAATACAACTGTTGTGCTTAGAGTTGTTGTTGTACCTGATGAAATCGTTGTCTCAGTCGTCGATGGAATTTCAGAACTAAATTGTGATGTAGTACTACTATCTGGATACACAAACTTAACAATGAATCTGTTAACATTGCTTGGTCGATCTTGTCTATCAACTGGTATATAGATAAGAGTTAATGTTGCTGGTTGAACAAGTGTAACATTGATTTCTGGATACATTGATGGATAATTGAAACCTGGTGTGTTGAGTGTTGGATTAATATTACCAGTTGTTTCAGGTGGTGGGTTCGAGGTAACTTGTGTTGGTTGAATAGTTAATGGTTGATTCATACCATTCTGTTGTGTGCAATAGCTCATTGTAGTTGTTATTGGTGGTAAAACAGTGGTGCTTGATGCAGGAGTTCCTGTTGAAGAACCTGGAGCACTTGTAGTTACAGCCGCTGTGGTACTTTTAACTGGAGTGACTGAAGTCTCCGTTGTTGGCAGACGTCCAGTAGTTGTTGTTTCTATTATTGGTGTATTGAAGCAACCAAAAATTGCTAACTTCAAATTATGAGGAGGCCTATTTCATATTAAAGAAGAAAGTGTAATGCAAGCGTATACAAACTAATATTCTCTTACTGATCGTCTCTTGTTGATAGAATACTAATACGAACACCAGTCAATGGTGATGGCACGTCATCGAGAAAATTGGAAATTGATGGTCCAGCATTGCTCATTGTTGAATTGTATGAAAGTGAAACATAAGGTGCAATTGTGAACAGTTGATTTTTACCCGGTTGAACGAAAAATTCAACACGAAATCCATTGACATTACTTTCATTATTGACCATGATACTACTAAGTGAATCAGCACCAGCTGGATTAAAAACGATGTCGATGTAATAAAGTGGTCGGTGATCGTTATCAAAGAGTCCAATTGTATTAGGTTGGTTTTGAAAACTAAATCCAGTACCACTAGTTGTGTAATCAAGAGAGCCACTTTCCGGAAGAAGTGTTCCTGAATGATTGACATATGAGACATATACACCTTCGGGTTGAGCCATGCTCATTCGACACATGGTGCTTGTATGAACACTAGTTGGGATAATTGTAGTACCACTAGTAGTAGCAGCTCCTGGAGTAGAAAGCGTTCCTGTAGTAGTAGCTCCTGGAGTAGAAAGCGTTCCTGTAGTAGTAGCTCCTGGAGTAGAAAGCGTTCCCGTAGTAGTAGCTCCTGGAGTAGAAAGCGTTCCCGTAGTAGTAGCTCCTGGAGTAGAAAGCGTTCCCGTAGTAGCAGCTCCTGGAGTAGTGTAACCGATTGTGGTTGCAGTTGTAGCTGTAACTTCAACACAGGCAACAATGCCAACAGTGACCTATACATGAAGCATTCATTAACAATAGAATGACAATGGTGATTATTGGCATAGTTGCAATGAGATATTTCGTTGTTCGGATAGTTTCATAGTGTTTCGCTTTCATCTGCGTGCCACAGGCTTCACTGCATTTATCAGTCATTTTTATGTCTTTCCCAAAAGTGCTCTTTCCCAAAATCTAGGTGCTGGTGTGTCATTAAAAGCATAGCCTCTGGTCAAAGATCGAATGACGATAAAATATGAGAAGAAACTCTGTAAGATCGTAGGAAGCAGAACTATTGGTTCTGTTATACAGTATGGCACTCATAAAATCGTAATTGGACTGTCGAAAAGTTGCATACAGACGGCTGAAAAGACTCAAATTGAATAGTAATAGATCGTGTCATGAGCGACACAGTAACTGACTATTCGTTACTTTCGTTTGTTATAGTTTTGTTTTGTAGAATAGAAATTCAGCGGGTGTCATCGCAGCGAAACACAATAAAATCATACGTACTTGTTTTGGGTTGTCGTAATCTACGGTTGACCTAACATCGATAACAATTATAGTGCCATTTGGTAGGTGGAAGTTTGGTGGTAGATTAACCCGAGGAGAAGCATCTGAGGGTGGAAATACAACTGTTGTGCTTAGAGTTGTTGTTGTACCTGATGAAATCGTTGTCTCAGTCGTCGATGGAATTTCAGAACTAAATTGTGATGTAGTACTACTATCTGGATACACAAACTTAACAATGAATCTGTTAACATTGCTTGGTCGATCTTGTCTATCAACTGGTATATAGATAAGAGTTAATGTTGCTGGTTGAACAAGTGTAACATTGATTTCTGGATACATTGATGGATAATTGAAACCTGGTGTGTTGAGTGTTGGATTAATATTACCAGTTGTTTCAGGTGGTGGGTTCGAGGTAACTTGTGTTGGTTGAATAGTTAATGGTTGATTCATACCATTCTGTTGTGTGCAATAGCTCATTGTAGTTGTCATTGGTGGTAAAGCAGTGGTTGAGTATGTCGGTGTTTTCTAGTGGGAAAAGTAGATTGAATGAAGGTTTAGATTGTTTTATGGGAGCGTTCACGGGATAGTTCATATGAAGGAGTTTTAGCAGTGTTAGTTTATTTTACATGATTGCTGAGGCCGTTTCCTACTTTTGTAAAGTTTCTCGATCGCTTTTCATTGAGTTTGAAGTAGTATATCCGTAACTGGTTGCTAGGTTAAGTGATTATTCGTTTATACTTCTTAAATGTATAGTGGAATGGGTGGTGGCCGGGTGTGTATTTTTCGGTATTTTTTTGGATTCGGAGATTTTCAGGGTGTGGAAAATCGGTGTTTTTTCTAATTTGCACCAACCTGAGGACGGGAAAGGTCCTTTCGGTTGGGAAGTTACAAGTGTGAAAAACGAAATAGCGGTAAAATGGAGAAAGGGAAAACATGAACGTGAACATGAAAGAAACATGCTCAAGGTTAACATTGAGAGAGAAAAAATATAAGAATAATAAAAATACATATCTTAGTACCCGTACATTTGCGCTAGGAGATGAATTAAAGAGTAAGAGGGGAAAGAAGGAAGAAGGAAAGAAATGAACCGCAGTTCAAGTCGAAATTCATGTGCTAGGGTGAAAAGTTTCTGAGAACTCCGATAGGGTCACTACGTCCTCTATGTTATAGCTTATAATGGATTCGGTCGTTGCTATACTTGCGCACCAGTTCACGATTTTCTCAAGTACCGGCTTATGTTCCAAATATCTCTTCAATCTAAGTAGTCCAGCTATACTATTTTCTTTAAGCAACCGAGCTGTTCTGAATGCATTGAAATTCATCAGCTCGAACATTAACTCCCCATCTTTCGTGCTCGATAACGTTGATAGATACCTGTTCCAATATTTCAAGCACCTGTCATCTAAACTTATTCCGTTCAGGGCAAAGGAGACGAAGTTATCCGGCCAGTGGTGGCAGTAGAATATTCTACGTATACATATGTAGTAGAAATGGTTTAGCTGTTGTTGGCTTGTTGTGATTAGGGGGAGATGTGGGTATATCCACGTGAATAGGGGTAGGACATAGGATAGAAATACCGCTTTTCTCAAATCAGTAGAGGTAGACCCACCTAACCGAAGCGAATTAATCATACAAATTCTTTGTCTTATTTTCGCCATACTATTTTTAAGCATACGCCCAAACCCAAGTTTCGGCGTGATCCAGTAACCTAAGTACTTATATTTACTGATCCATGGTATCTTTATGAGTCTCCAAATGGTATTGTCACATCCCTATTCGCATGTGAATTTTTTGGGAGATCGGTTTTTGGTTTGGATATATTGTCTGCTGTTCTCCGTTATGTCGAGCTTGGTTCTAAGAAAGTGGGAGTAGCTGCCTGATTCGGGTTTGAATATAAATGGAGAAAAGAAAAGGTTAAACCAAAACTAACTCTAGGAATAGATTTAGCTTTGGTTGAACTTTCCGATATATGCGACATATGAATATATGTATACCCTTCGCCCGCACCCACATTTGAGCATTCCTCCATGGTATCCATCACCCACACTCACATTTGAAGTACCCCCGGGTAGCCCCTCTGCATCCATTCCGGGTACTTTTCATTCACGCCCACAGTTAGCCCTTAGTCCCTCTCAACCCACACCCACTTCATCTCAGACTAAAGCTAAAACCAAAACTAAAACTAAAACTAAATCTAAATCTAAATCTAAATCTAAATCTATTTCTACTTACATGGGAGTCTATGTATATATGTCGGCTTGTCCGAGCGTAACGGGATGACGTTTTGCCCACAGCTTTCTTAAATTTTCTCAGCAATTAGACTACTTAGAAGGTGTGTTCTTTCGTTGGAAGATGTGCCTATGTCTTGCTCAAAATATATGAAAATATGAGCTCGATTTAATCAGCGCTTCTAAAACTATAGCAATAATAGTTGAGGTAACGCGGTGACGGAAAAAGGACAAAAAGTTCTGGGTGATGTGGTTTTCTTAATTTTTCTGTGAATCTTCTGCAGTATCGAATAGAACTTTCTATAGGTATTTTGTAGCCGACAGTTTGAGGTTTGCAATGAACAAAAAACATTTCCGAACAGTGATCTTATTTTAACAAGAGACTTGCTTCATTAACGTAACGCGATGACGGTTTCGTTACACGATGACGATGACTTTTGTAATGTAATTTTTTCCCCATCATCTTCTACTGTAATACAATCCCGTTTACCGGTTATTAGGTAACTAACATGACGATTATAAAATTTAATTATTAATTTGTTACGATATTTTTTCGATGCCAGTTTTTAGCGAAGACGTAATTTTTCTAATGAATCACCCATTAAATTTCTACACCTTTGACTATCACGGATACGAGTTTCTTTTTGCTTCATTTGTTCAAATTTCAATTAATTTTTTGATAAATCAATACTATAGAGCTTTTGTCGTTCAGCATTAGACTTAACCATTTCACTCCATTGCTTCAACTTCAATCGCAAATCAAGCTACTGTTGAACTTAGATCAATTTAAAAATGAATATATTGTTTTGAAGAGAAATGATTCAATATTAATTATTCAAACAATATAGAGATTGGAATTATCGTTGTAACTGAACGAGAATAAACATTACAGAAACGTTGAACGATTTTGATTGGTAGTTCTATTTGAAATGAACAATATCCACTCAGACCATTGGGCAATGTTGTGTGCATAACTTAATATGCTTTCATTAGAAATCGATTGCTTACAACTTATACTGATTTTAGAATAAAAATTCTTTCGCTCAAGATGCTCTTATGAAAATGGAAAAGTCAGAAAAAAGTAAAATTCGTCATCGCGTTACATAAAATTTTTATAACACACTATCTTTTTCAAATCGAATCCTATGCCTTAGATAGCCGCAAAAAATTTAACTTTACGTATTTGCTTTTAGTATAAAATTAGCTGCGATTCAGTAATGAAAAAACAAATAATAGACATTTTTTGTTACGCGATGATGTTATAAATAAAGTAAACTTACATAGGCTCTCTAGGAAAACCTATAATACATAGGATATTATCTGTTATGCCAAATGATGCACATTTCGATATATTCTCTATTCATATTAATCCACTAAATATTCATTTATTTCTGCCAAGATAAACATTTGATGAATCAGTAGCATAAGTTTACTAATTTCTCTACGTGCACAGTAGCTTCTCTTTCACTAACTACCAAATGTTTTTTAAATGTATAAAAGAAAAACGAAACATGTTTCTATGTATTTTCGACTATGGTCTACAAGATGGTAATATTGGATTTTTCAAATACAGAGTTCGAAACACCCGTCCCAGAAGTTACACGTCACGCTGACAAGGCGATATATGTATATATAAATGAAATTAAAACTAAATCTAAATCTAAATCTAAATCTATTTCTACTTACATGGGAGACTATGTCTATGTAAATAAAATTTAAACTATTCCTTAGTATTTGATACTGTAAGTATATATCTCTTGTTATATTCGAATTGTGATGGTGCAGTTGAAGCTCCATTTATGTTCGAATTATAACTGGGCATCTCATGGAAAGGGGCGAGCAAATGCGACTTTTGCGGGAATGACAGAATTTTTGTTGTATATTATCTTTGCGTCGATGACTTTTGTAGGGCGTTGGCTGCTGAAAAACTGAGAATCAATTTGATGCTTACTGTAGATATAATGTTCGTCATATTTTCTGGTGAAAGATGTTTGTCAATAAAATTATCGGATATAAATACTGGTACTGCAGCGGATGAAGTAGTAGTTTGCATGGTATATAAAGTTGGAGGTTTAGGTTCGACACATGTGGGGAATATTAATTGTGGCCCTTGCAGTTGAGCTCGTGCTGTCATGTTGTAAACAGCAGCAGAACCATCAATATTCGCGGATGTTTCAACAGCATAGAATGGTGCTAGAAGTGCTCCCATAAAATTTTGTGTAATACGTAGTGAAACATTTTGCCTAGAAGGTTTTTCGTAAATGTTCCATAATGTCCGAGAACGTCCATCGAGTCCATTCAGCCAACTACCCACCATGTTACCCTCTTCATATGAACATGTTTGCCCAGATAAATTGATCACAATCGCTGTAGCATTGACGTTATTTAGAATTTCAATTTGTTGAACATATTTATTTTTCAATACATCGTCACATGATAAATGAAAGATTGCTAATCCATCTGCATTCGTATTATTAACAATAAATTTTAATGTATCAGGCTGACTTTGTGGTACAAGAACATCATTGTTCGGTAGCAATTGTGATAAGTACTGGGAAAATGTTTGTATATCATATGTTACTTTGGAACATTTTGTATCCAGTGTAGTATCAATAAAGGCAGAAGCACCGTAATTACCGGCATTAATCCCTAATAACCGTCCATTCAAATTATATTGTGTTGGTGATATTTTCTGTACAGTACCAAATGAATTCGTAACACTACCAGCGGTGACATTCATTGTTGAACCGAAACTGATATTATATCGAATTTCAAGGCTAGGATCTATTGAATTTTGATCTCGATGAATAGCAAAGTTAGATGATTGCGTGCCAAGATAACTTCCACAAACTAATGTTCGATATTCTACATCGGAATTTGTATCAAGATCTCCCATTGTAATTAAATTATACTCAGAAAGCCATTTCGCACCAACAATAGCACTACACGTTGAACTAGTTGTTCCAGTAATATATGCTGCTCTACTTGTAATAGATGTTGTTTCACTCTAGCGAAAGTTTAAGATGAATTTCTTTTATAAAGACGAATAATCTTACTGTTTTCGATATAAAAGCTCCGACACTCGTTACACTTGTTTGGCCAATAGTAGTGAAGATAGTTGATGGGATTATAGTCGTAGTAGTCACTAAAGAGTTATCATCAAGACAATTCAATGATTAATGTCAATAAGTGAAACATACCACTACAATCCATATAAGTTTCATCATCACCTTTCGAACAATGAGCCATTCCGTCACATAATTGAGTTCTATTGATACATCCACCTCCAAGGCATGTATATTCGTTCGATGTACATGTACAATTTTTTTCATCAGTTTGATCGATACAATCCGGTATTCCATCACAAACTCGTGATACATCGATACATTGACACACTATTTGACATGAGAACTGCTCAGAACATGTACATGCACAATTACGTTCATCTGAACCATCTAAACAATCTTTATAATTATCACATTTACTGCTGATTGGTAAACAGTCTTGACTGTCAGCGCATTGGAAGTAACGGCCACTATTTAAATCACAATGTTCTTGTTCTAAAAAAATTCAATGAAAAGTGAATCGATCGTTTGATATAGAAAACAAAAAAATAGTAATACATACTACAATATGCTGCTTCGTCAGAAGCATCGCCATAACCACAATCAATTGAACCATCACATACCCACGTGTTTGGAATACATTTTGCACTCGTTTTGCATAAAAATTCTGTGCATGGTTGAATATATGCTAAGATAAGAAATAAAATGAAGCTAGTGAAAAATTTTCCTAAAATATATTCACTTACTGCAATTTATTTCATCGGAACCATCCCGACAATCCGGTAAACCATCACAATGATAAGTCATATTGATACATTGTCCATTCTGGCAAGTGAAACTTGTTTTGTTTGAGCATTCGTAAACACAATTATTTTCATCAGTTTGATCTGCACAATCGTATGTTTTATCACATTTCCATGTCTTTGGTATGCACTCTTTACTAGTTAAACATTGAAATTCACTAAATGAGCAATTTTGTTGACATTCCGTCGCTGTCAACGTTGAACAGACAAATGAACCATTTGTGCATGAACATATTTCACAACCCCGAATGATGTTAGAACCACTTGGATAATATTTATTATCATAAGCGCATGTGCATGATGATATAGGTACACATGTACCAGTCCCATCCATTAGAAGACCATTTGAACAAAAACAACCTTCAACACAACCCGATAATTCACAACCGAAGTATTCTTTTCCTGAGCATGCTTCAGGGCATATAGGCCCACATGCCATATAAACTTTATTATTATCGCATTGCATTGGACATCGATCTGGTCGACGCCATCTAATAGGTACACCAATTGAATTGCATTTTTCAGCGAATGACGCTAAAGATGTACATAAACATTCACAATCACCACCACGATCACAACTAATGAAATGATTTTAAATTAACAAATGAACAATTTCACAATATTCTTACTTGCACGCATCATATAAGCATTCTTTATAGTACATATCAAGTTGTGTTGAATCCATCAAGTCAATACAAGGATTAAATGGATTATCGATTGTTTTCCCCCGAATCAATGAACATTCCGTTGTTGCCCAATCACGTCTTTGCTCATGATTGGAACATGGATCACTATTATCAATAGAATTTTCTTGTAAATTTGCACATGTTGGTGCCGTTTTCCACGAATTAGCCATTCTAGAACAGATTTTTTTTCATATAAGTATATATTTAAATTTTCAGAAAAAATGTTCTCTCCCTACTCAATTATTGAGCCAGTAATTCCTTGTGCTGTTTTTATATCATCAGCACTATCATCATTATAATTACCACATAGACCTTCCATATTTCCACGATGCTGTGAGTAAACTGTGACATAAATTCTTGTTGATTCATCCCATTTAATTAAAAAGTCTGGTGTAGAAATTATTGTAAAAACTCCACTTTTAAATACAGATACTTGCCCATAGATTTTTGGTATTGATTCATAATTTTTGAGTTCAATACCATTAAATATAACACTACGTCCACGTTGCAAATCAATACTGGAACCAAGATAATCAATGATTATATTTTTTGTACAAGTTACACCAGTGGAACCGCATGGAACATTTTCAGCTAAAATACTGAATGTATTATTTTTTTCCTTAGCTAAATAATATTGGCAATTTCCTTGATAAGAATAGCGTAATCCATCAAATGTTATATAATGTGGATCACCGGTTGCAATACATGTACTATCACATTGCATTTTGGTGCATGTCCATATTCCACCGGAACATGTACAATTGTTACAAGATTGAAGAATTTGTTCTCCTGTTGCATATGAATGTTGATTATAACGACATGGACATTCATCAACTGATACACAACTAATACCATCATGTGTCAATACTTGTCCTGGTGGGCACGTACAACCTGGTTTGTATGTATTGCAGGCGGAAAAACTAATGAAGTTATCACATGTCTTTGGACATGTACTTGCATTATTAGAATAAATTTGATTCCCTGGACAACTCATTGTCGAAAGACAATTTGGATTTTCACATTGAAATCTTCCACTTAAGCATGTACAATTTGTGCATGTTCGAAATAAATTTTGCCCAGGCTGAACATATGATTCTGTTGATACATCATAGCAAGGGCATTGTTCTGCACGAATGCATGAAAGAGATTTACTATTATAATATGTATTAGTTGGACATGCACATCCAGGTAAACATCGATTTTCACAATTCAATGAAGATTTTTGATCTAGGTCTGAACATGAATAATCACAAGCGGAAACACATTCAGAGTAGCTTGTTGACGTTGACCCACCATCTGGTGATGAACATTGACCATAAGGATAAGGTGCTATGTGGCAAGCATTTGATAAACTTGGTTTACTCATCCAATCAATAATAATGCCACGTTCAGCACATTCATGTGCGTATGTTGCTAAATGATAACATGTATATGTTGAAACATAATCACTTGCACTATCAACACAAAGATCAGCAGTACACGATTCAATATAAAATGATGGATCCAAAACAGACAAACATGGAGTAAATACAGAATCTTTCAATAGATTCTGACATGTTGACCGAGCAACTAATTCACTCTAATCATACGAATGTTTTTTAAAATTATTTTTCAATTTTCTTTTTTAACTTACCGCTGGAAAAAGACTGCAAGATGATGTTTGTAACGGTGTATTACATGTTTGAGAAGTTTTATAAGCATTAGCAAAACTAATAATATTTGTTTCTATGAGTCCATTCGGAGTTTCATAATCATCTCTTGTTATATAGTTAAATGTACCACACAGACCACGAGTTTGATTGATAAACGATGATTCCAAGGTAATATATACGCGAAAGCCATCAAAATAAATTGCAAAATCAGGCCCTGCAAAAGTTCAAAAGAAAGAAAATATGAGTAAAGTTTTTTCTATTTACTTATTAGATATTACCTTCGACACTTCGTAAAACTGATGTTGCTTGTCGAATCAACAAATTATTACTTTTCTGTGGTAATTGTGTTCCTGGTTGTCCATTAAGAACTATTTGTGAGCCTTTAATATTTACTATATTTCCATAGTAAACAATCACTAATTCATTTGTACTAATATCTTGTGTATTGGTATACATCACGCGAAGCTTCTCTGATGATTTAACATCTGTACCCTGAAGAAACCATTAAAAAGAAACAACTGCTTAAATTGAAAAAGTTGAATCGTACTTCAAGTAATACGTATTGACAAGAACTAATTAAAGTGAATGTTTTTCCATCGTACGTATCAATATGACCATTACCCATGACAGTGCAAGTTCTAGGACAAGCTACTTTTGAACATTGCCATGAACCAGATGAACAATTACTAAAAATTTCAATAAAAACTCAATCAGTATGATTTCTTCTTAAAGTACAGATGAACGACGATCTAGCAGTATATGAATCAATCGAAGATACTAGCTTGAAATGATAGAAAGAGTACTTTTACCAAGAGAGAGCCACACTAGCAAGGTATGATAAAATAACGGCTTTATCCTGTTTTAGCTCTAAGTACTATGTCTCAAGAAATACAATCCATGAATCAATTGAACAGCTAATAGAAAGGATTCTTCTCGATGTTAATCTGGTTATCCATACTTTTACTGTAATTTAGTTGAATACAGCCGTTTACGACGCGAAACATCGCATGAACAAAAATCATTGAATCTTAATATAGAGCACAGTAAAACAACATTGTATACGAGGCCATGTTTCACTAAATATAGGAGTATAGGCACTATCGTCTCATTATAATAGAATTTTATGTCTGTGCCCGATTTTACAGTCATGTAACATCTGTCTATACGTTGTCATGTGACATTATATGGACTATATTTTTAAACCTCAGTTGTTTAAGAAAACTTATCCAGGAAAATCTCATCAAACTAACTAATTACAAGAAGTAAGAAAGTCATATCTTATATAATAGAGTCCAAGATGGTTCGTCATCGACTATGAATATAAGTGAATGCACAGATTAAAAAATGTATTAGAAAATTGCTTTACATACAGATTTACAGGAAAAACACATTTGACTTCAATGAGAGACCTTTTCGTCTTCGTTTGCTGAAGCCCTTATCGAATGACAACTACTCTGTAAAATATTTGTCGAGTATTTTAACTTCGAGTATGAATATGAAGAATATTTTCAGACCTCCATAGATTGACTTTCCAAATCGAAAGACTTTTGTGCAAGAAATTTCAAAAGAAATTCTCAATCACCGATCTTATATTCAATCGAGTAAAAGATAGTGAGTTTTTTCTAAATTATGATGTTCGTTTTCAAAAGAAAAAAACAATCATTCTAATTCACACCACGGGTGTCAATCGCTATTTCAACGTGAAACTCATCTAGATCGTAATACTTCACTTAAAATTCAGTTGCAGAAAACATTAAAAAGCACTGTTTAGAATAACTGATAATCTGCAATCTGAACACATTAAAGAACCTTTCACTAGCGAACAATATCCGTAACATAGATGCTGAAAGTTGAACAAAAATTGATATAAAACACAAGCTTGTATAGCATTTTACACTGAAGGGATGCTTGAAATATTATCATAATGTACTAAATTAAAGTGATTACAAAGATTCACACATTCAATCGTGAAGTGTGTGCTCAAAGAAATGCTACACAACGCATGATTTCGTGAAACTCTTTGACTTTGTTGAATTTCAAATGTCTACACAATAGGTATAACTATTCGAAAGAAACTTTATTGCTCTGAAAAATTAATTTTCGACATAAGCTAAATCATAGAACTTGGAATGGATTTCTAATTCTCATATTGAAAATAAGTTTAATTGATAATCAACAATTGAATAGTTTTATCTAAGATAATGACTTATCAGTTGATATTGTCGCTTCTTAGTTATTTCTAGTTTTAATCAGATTTTCTTTTTCATCACAACTTTGATTACTGCTTGCTGGTTATTATCTAATCAATTCCTACCATTGATTACAATTAATATCAATGCTGTCTCCCGGTTGATAATAATTTCCTCTATAGTAGCAAGTACATCCGTCAGGTTTAACACATTTTTGATTTTGTCCCAAATCCAAAACAGTTCCAGTAGGACAAATACAACCCGCTGAACAATCGCTCATGCATGCATCTGATTGAGATATTCTTTGACTTAGACTTTGGCAAGTTTTTGGACAATTTGATGCACATTCAACATAGGTCATATTATTCGGACATGATTTTGCTGAATGAAAACGAAGTACAATTTTTAAAAATGGAAAAATTTTCATACATACGGCATCGAGATGCTGTACGCCAATTAATATCAATATAATTATCAGTACAATCACGAGCAAATGCTGTGTAAGAATTGCACATTGCTTGTCCTAATTGTTCTGGATGAGTAGTAGCCGTCATACAATAATCGATAACACAAGCATTGTAATATTGTTCTCCATTCACCTTTTAGTTTTCAAAATATAAGTTTGTTTTTATGTTCTAAAAGAAATAATTTACGTACGACATGTAAACATTCACCAAAAACGTCAGAAGTATTAAGAAGTATTTGGCAAGCATCTATTGCTATTTGTTGTGTATCATCATCTGAACATACTTCACCTAATGATGGCGCTTCTGGACACTAAAAGCAAAGAGAAAATACACACAATATGCAAATGATAGATTATCGAGAATTGCTAACACTTTTATCTAAGCGCCATTGATTTCCGAATACAGCCGCACTTGGAGATATCGTTCCATCAAAAAGAGTAAGATCATCTAAAGAAATTTTTAAAGAATTCATAAAAATGCAAGAAGTACTTCAGTAAAAGATTGCAACCTCTAGGATTTTGATCATAGTCTCCACATAAACCACTAACTTTTCCTTTGAAACTAATATCAACTGTTAAGTCAATGACAGTCGCTTCATCCCATTTGATTCGGACACCATCAGAATATGTTAGATATGTATAATTTCCACGTCGTTCGATTGTCACGCCACTAACAATAATACCTTCGGTTGAATTTAATGTAACACCATTGACAATAACATTGCTTCCTACTGCAGTTACATTCACAGGTCCAAATAGCATAGATAATTGTTTAGAACACGTTTTCCAATTGTTACATTGTATTGGTCGAACATTAACTTGCCATGATTGTGTACCACTTAGTTTATAATTGCATGAACCAATAAATTCAAATTGTGTATTATCAAATGTTCGATAATGAAATAAACCCCAAAGTACACATGTCGCGAATGGCAATGGCTCATTATCATTAGAAGTTAATGTATCATTTGATGTAGCGACTGAAAATAATGAAAAAACAGATATTAAATAAAAGATTTATTAAGACTAAAATCCACCTTGATCACAATTGCTTCCTGTCCAGTTAGAACAACATTTGGATACATTCATTTGTCTAGAAAAAAAACTTGATTAAGAAAACAACTTTTCAGTACACAATTACCGAGTATATGGACAAGGAATAGAATTTGCATGTCTTCGTTGAATTTCTCGAAGAAGCTCAACTGAATTCGTTATTGATGCTTCTTGGAAAACCTGATTTTCATTGAAAATAAATAAATTTATTGAAATTCAGTAAAAACAAATTTTTAAGAGTATACTTTGAAATCTATTTTCCATGTTGAATTATCTTTATTATGTTCATCAATAATATTGAATGCGGTAGAATTAGGACAATCATAATTTTTAGTGACCGATTCTATTGAGGAACAAATATGTTGATTCGTTGATGTTGTAGAGGTTTGAGAACTGAATTATTTGCAGTTTTATTAATTGAACTATTGTTTATTCAGTGAATTTAAAACTTACTCGACTGTCATCATGAAACAAAAAATTAAAGATAAATATATCGGCGAACGTTTAGTTGCCATGAGTTGGATACGTAAACGTGAAAATATTGAATACGAAAAACAAAAAAAAGAGTCGACCACAACTCTAAAATTGAAATATTCGGCTCTCTCTATTCGATTAATATTGATGATTCCTTTTATATGATAAAATTAATAAGATAGAATCAACAAAAAGATGATTGAAGTATATGGACACAGATGGCAAGTGAAGTAGATCAAATGCTACTGATAATATTAAAAACAATATATTGAAAATAATTTATTGAAAATAATGAATAGATTCAAGCTGTTTGCACCAATAGATAATAATATTTCATTGTTTTGATCTTTTTCGAATCTAATAGCACATTTTATTAGAACCCACTAGAAAAATATTTATGAAAGTGTCAGTCATTTTCATCCATATGGTGTTGCCTTCTTCAAAGATCTATCTTTCATGATGTCGCATATATTGAAGCACTTACTAAACTAATATTTAACTATAAGATATTCATTTTTTTTATTTGAGAGGGAATGAAAATAGTAGCTCTATCATTTATAAAAGTTCAGCATACGTATATACTGGATTGTTACTATAGATAGTCATTGAAAATGGATTTTAAAGTTCATACAAATATAGTAGTCTAAACCAGGTTTGTTTTGTCGGAGTTTAATTAATATTTATGATCATAAAGTAATATACAGATATGAGCTACATTAACGAATGACTTTCTATGAAATAATTTAATTTGTCCTGCAAATTCTATCAAGTTTCTCTCGAGAAAATGCCCATAAATACACAAAAACAATAAAGCTCTCGGTTCTGTCTTATCGATGGCTAAGTGAGATTAGTGAAAATCTTAAATGATTAGTGTTTATAATTTGTCTTCGCATTGTTTTCACAATTTTAGTGAGTTTTAACTTCACAGTAGAAACTTGAAAAAGTATTCGATACAATAGATTCAATTTCAAATGTCACACATGGCTTTTATTAGGCAGTTTGCCTAGAGTAGAAAATCCAATTATATAACTCCATCACTTCTGGAAAATAAACTATGAAGATGGATAGATTCAAACTGTTGCTAATATCAGTTAGTTATATATATAAAGATATAGATAATCTATAAATTTGATCAATCCTTAACAGTTAGGATTGTTCCTTGGTTAGTTAAAAAAAATTGTATCAAATATCCCTAATTTTAAATTTAAAAAAACCATAAGAAATTATTTTGATTCATACACTTGAATACTTTATACTGTAAGGTCTTTATCATTTTTACAGCCATTGAATCTTCACCATTACTGAACACCGTAGTATTTGGGTACATGAATGATGAACTCTTCACATTGCCAGATGTAATTTATAATTGATAAAGAGCGGTCAAATAGTAATTTTGACTCTCAGTGAAATCTTACTTGTATTTTTTAGTTGATAAATATTTATATAAAGAAAATCAAAATAAAAGAATATTGATCAAAGAAATATTGAAAAAATATGGTGAAATCCTAAATAATGAATGAGAAAATAAGAAATAGAAAAAAACGTGTATTCAATTATTCCAATAATTGATATCCCAATAAAAGGAAAGTTACATTCTATTAGTTTCAATGAACGTCTAACTTTTTTTATAAAGTATAACATAGAACATGTAGAAAATAACTAGAAATAAACGACGATAAAGCAAATATTATGTGACTTGAGCATAATGGATAACATTTTTTCTCTTTTTGTTAAAAAATTCTGACTGAATGTGTTCTCTATGGATTGAAGGAGCTATTGTAAACTTCTCATACACCAGTGACTATTAAATGATTTCTGCTATTCATTTCATTTATACATTTTTCTAGTAGATAAAATGGCATTGAATTATTTTTCATATCAAAGTATCTGATACATTATAGCGGTGAGATTAGCATGAGTAGAGTTCATAATAGTCGACTCATCAAAACATCCAAATGAGATAAGAAAAAAAGAAAGAGAATAACTTGTTCTAGAAGAGATCGATTATACGCTTGAAAAAACTGCGTGTGTTCGTTGTAGGATAGTGTTTGCATTTAAGATTATGTAAGTAAGCGCCATGTCTTTTAATACTTGAATAAGAAACTAAACATTCCCAACAGAATTCGTGTTTGCATTTGAAACAAGTTATATGATCGCAACCTTCGTTTTTCTCAATGTGAAAATGACATTTGTGATATACCTTGGTATGTACACTGACCCAGCGTTGACTAGCACGCACTTGCCCGTTGATGCGAGGCATATCGTATTCTTCACATGTCATTTCATCGATATTTATGAGTAGAACAAGTTAATTTATAACAATTGGCACATTGAATAGTGTTATTCATTGTTGCATCTTCATTCAATTGACTCGAACCGCAACCATGTGCGCATCAAACAAGTTCGGGACTTTGTTCGAGAATCCGATCGAGTTCAAATTTTGTATAACGTTCTTCTAGATTTGTATCCTTGTAGTTGAAAAGAATCAGTTTGGCAGTCATATGAGACAAGGGAATAGAACACTCTGGACAATAAAGATCATAGCCAATAATCTAGTTATTGTGCACATATTTATATATACAATTATCACAGATCGTTCTGATTGTATGTTTACAATCACTGCTGTAGCATGTTTAAAAGTCTTCACATGGCTTCAATTCCATACATATGGCACATACTTGCTCTAATTTTGTTCTATTTTCAGTGGATCTATATGTGAAAAGTAATCTGAATGTATGTTGAAGTTATTGAAGTATTGGCAATGGTTTGATAACTCAGGAATAAATTATAATCTGTTTATCCTTTCTTCTGTAGATATTCTTTTCAAAATAAAAATTTCAGAAAGAGTTCCCAAAAGCCAAACATGCATTTGCCATAATTCAATAGTGCAAGGTATCGAATCTTGCGATTTTGACATCTGCCTTGTTGAGTAAATTTTCTAGCATTGATTATTTTGAAATATAAGATAAATATAACAATATTTCAATAAATAGTAAATCATATCTGACACTGTTTTACCTTTATGTACAGTCGTCAGCTTTTGATTTTCATCGCTTTCATTCATTTACATCACATTTCTTGAGCGAGAACAAATAGACATGCACATGCATACAACGAATGAATCACTGTTCTTTTCCCAGTTGACGTCATGTTGGCACTGACGAATAATATTGTCTTGCAATCGTATGGCGCTACGTCAAACAGTTATATTCCATAAAAAGATTATTGACAAGTCCAAATTTTACAATATAATGCTACTGTGATCAGCTTGAAGGGTTTCAACTATTTACTAGTTGAGGCCTGTGTAACTTATTAGACTTGTAAAATAGAAATAGTATACAAAACTATAATTATTTTATCATATAGCAGTGAATGTAATCTTTAGAGAAATCTTATGAGACTTAAATGGATCAAAGAGAAAATGACGCCTATGAATATTATGTGTTTCCATACGATAATATACGTACTTTCTAAGCTGTGCCAGAGTCGCGAAAACATAGAAAAGTTGTATTTCAAAAATCGTCAATATACAGTAGCTATGCATCAAATCTAGATATGTGCATCACAAAAACTGGAAATCTCGGTCTTGTACAAGTGTCTAATCAAATCTTTACTATAGACTTGTATTAATTAACTTCATTTTTCTACTGCATTTTATCACATTTCTCTCATCATTTGTTTTCTTTCTACTGACTTTTACAGATTCATTTGAAATTGATGCACAATTAACTTTTTATTAATTCAAAAATAAAACATAATATTAGACTCTGTAACTTTTTGAATAATAATCTCAACAAAATAAACTTTCCTCTATTTCAGCTAATCTTTGCCTACAAAAAACAGAAACCTGATATTTGTCTTTGCTATTATTTTGTGATACCATGCTTTCAGAATCTAGTTTCACGAATTTTCTCATGTTTATTCACAATAATAATAAAATAATTATTCAACACCATAAATATTTTGAAAGACAGAAAATGAAAGATAATGGCATTATTAAAAAAGGAAGATGTATGATTCTCGTTAAGCAAAATTATTGATTAATATTTCTTATTATTCAATTATTTTTTCCATGGATGAAGTGCGATTAATATAATTACGCCAATTACAATGAGTACGATCACAACTAGAAACAAATAGACATATTCTGTATATTGCAATTCATTTCTAAACAAACTTACCAATAAAAATAGTAATTTTATAATTGCGCCATTTCATAGTTCGTTGTATGCGTCTTGCAGAGCCATGGAAATAATAGGATGATGAATTTAAATCTTCAGCTCGTGCATTTAATACATCTAATCGATCCCCTCGATCAACTAGTTTTTCAACAGTTACCTTCAAAACATTTGTTGTTTCGGCAACATCAGCACGTAATGCGTTTAAATTGTTTGTTTTATTATCCACTGGATCACTCATCTTCAAAAAGAATATAAAAAAAGACCCATGTATCACAATTATAATAGTAAAGAAATAGATAAGAAATGACAAAAAATAAACAGAATAATATTCTGCCATGTATATTTAGTGACGAAACGATATGAAAAAAAATGAAAAACATGTAAGAAAAATTTAGTTATTATTTACGAGTGGTTACAAATGAAGAACGTTGAGATGGAAAATATACAATAAATGCAGTAATATTTTATTGAATGGAGCCAATTAAATATCAGTGAATGTGTTGGTAGTTGGGCCGATTTGATGAGAAGAAACTAGAATTAAATTTTTAATGAAGAAAAATTATGTTAAACAATAAAGATATATCTTGCTGTTTTTCATGAAAAACATCAATCACGAAATATAGTCATTCTCTAGTTACTGATCATTCTTGAAATTTAGTGTTTATAGAATCGATATTGAGACGGTATACATCAGTATTTATAAGTGTACTCATTGGCGTAGTTTGCAATCATACTTTAGGTCTTCTGGATGAATAGTCATGAAATAACCTCATATTCCTCGATGGATATGAATACTACTAGTATAAAAATGAAAAGCAACGTCCATCTAGATACAGAAACGATTAAGGAGTATTACATTTGATGAAGTTCAATTTCATACGGTGATCGGTAAGATATTTCTAAGTTCAGTCATCAGAGAAATAAAACTTACGCGTACGTCCATCTAGTTAGTCGTTCCGTATATAATCTACATGTATATTACGATCATAGCAAAGAATAAAAAAATGAAGAAATTAAACTGTAATCGAAATTTGTCAAAAAGAACGTTGCCAATTCGTATTGTCAGCATTTCTATCAAGAAAGAACACAGATCAATCTATGTTTTTATCACGCTTATCGAAAATCATTTCTACGCTGTTGAATATACAATTGCTAATTTTTATTTAATGTCTTTTTCGTTCTTAAAACGAATCATTTTCTTAAGTATGATATTTAAGTCAAAGACCAGAATGAAAAACATTTGCATGTATCAAAATATCGTTGAAAATGTTTTTCAAATTGATAACACGCAATTATTTTTATTATTTCAATCATTGATCGATCAAATGTTTCTTGGAGAAATATTTAGCCTGTTTACAGCGTATTTTAATTGATTAACGAGTGAATTCAATTTTGAAATTAAGTTTGGAAAAAAAGAAGCAAGCACGCGTGCAAATCGGTCTACTTCTATTCGTGGGAAAGTAGCAGAGCAATGCATAAACACACAAATGAAAAACAGTTTTTTCTCTCTTTTCTGTTTTACTACCTTCCAACAAATGTTGTGACTAAGAAAATAACGTATTAAACTTTTTTTTCCATTAAAATTGAATACATACCGGAACGAACGGTCATTTTCGGTGAAGAATTCATCGAAGCTTCGCCAGCACTTGCTAGTAGAGGCCGAGTTTCTAGAAAATTCATATTGTTATTAATAATCCCGAAGTAAAAGTTTCTAACCTGAGTTCACAGTATTAGGACGATAATAATTATTGGTTGCCATAGCTGATGCTGATTTAATGCCATATTTTTCTTCTAAAACTCTTCTTCTATCTAGACGTTGTGCAGCGGTTGTTGTGTTCGACAATGCATCGCCTTCACCATAGCTTCGACGTTCTTCAAGAAGTAGTTTAATGATCAAACACATTTAAGGAGAAAAAAAAAGTTTCGTATACCTCTGTTCATTAAATCTTTTCCGTCATCCACGTATTCAGATGAGACATCATCATCATCAAAAAATTGTTCAAAGCCACATACGTGTAAACATCTCGAACCCAGTCGAAAATAAGTACCGATACTTAATAAAAATATTAACATTGGGAAATAAAAATTGAAACCAATCGATACAATCGGTATTGCAGTTAAATGACCCATGGTCTAAGAGAAAATAAAATAAATTTCATCTATTTCTATTTTATATAATATTTACTAATGTAAATATTGTTTCTTCTCGATCAGTTTTGTTTGTAATAGCTTGATCTAAATGTATCATACCAAGAAAATTGTAACTCAGCGGAGCTGTCAAACGACATAAAAATGTTGCAGCAAATATTAAACTATTTTCATCTGTTAAATGATAAAGTGACAAATAAAAATAATCTAATACACGAATACGAAATATTGTATAATATGCACATAAACATAAATATGCAATACTTAAACAGCAGAATACCTATTGAAAGAAATTTTTCTTCGTTTCTTGAATAATATTTTTATAATTATTAATCTTACTTCAATAGTAAAATAGGAATAATGATTACGAGCAGCATTTACACACTGAGCAAAGATGGATAAAACTGGTTTTGTACTGAAAAATGTCATTTCCGACCATATAACCAATATTGATATAATACCGAGTATGACACCCAGTAGACGCAATGCCCATGGACGAATGAGACAGTATGCATACCATTCTGAAATTTAGAGGAAAAAACGCTCGTTATATCGAAACATTGGAACCGACGATCTAAGTGTAGTTCAAAGAGATAAATTTTTGAAAAAAAGAATACTAAATTAGACGTAAATGCTAAATGTCAGTTGCACGCTGTGTTTCAAGAGACATATCTGTATTTTTTTAGTTTATCGTATGAAAACACCGAAATATCTAATTTTATGCAAGAAGAAATAGTTGTTTCATTATTTTTCATCTAAAAGGAGCACCATTATATGCCATCTGCGTTTTTTCCAGAATTCTCTGCTTAGATTTATTTTTTTACTAAATTTTTGAATGCTACTTCACTATTTATTTTTGCCTTAAGATTTAGTCAGTGACTTAGAATGAAAAAGGCTTCATTTATTATTAGTTGGCATCTTTCAATGGTTTGATAATGGTAGTTAATGTTTTTATTTTTCTAGGTATTTAAAATTTTTATTTAATCTATGTATAAATAATTATCTAGTATGAGATGAAATTATGTATTTTAGTTAAAATTCCATAGTTGTTTCGAGAATTGTAACCGTATTCCGATTGAAAACTCAAACAAAAATTGTTAATAGTTTTACTTCTGAAGAAACTATTTCATATGTTTCTCTCATCATTCATCTGCGATATACAAAGCAAAGAACAAACTGATACATCGATCAACAAAAAGTTATTTTTAGTGAGAATTTTTTCAGTTGAATAAATTTAATTTTGAAAAATGAAATAAGCATTCTACTTAAAAGATGGGACGCTTAATTGTTAAAATCTTGTTAAAAATCAAATCTTTTACCTAATTTAGGATGCCGATCAAATAGTTTCTGCCGTAACCATGATGGTGGATGTGGATTTTGTTTAATAAATTCATGATTTCTATGTTTTTCATTATTAAGAATATCTTCTAAATAAAAAGCTTCATTAATCGTTCTTCTCCACAATACTTGTACACGGTGATGGACATGAATATATTTCTTTAAACGTTCGTGTAATTTAATTAACTGTATTTCTGTTTCTGAATCAGTAAAGCGATTTGCTATCGCTATTCGATTATTATCAAAGTCATCAATGGTTAATTTAATTCGATTCATGTATTGCTCTGGGACAATTTTAACTATTTGTTCAAGATATCGCCTTAATGGACCATCAGTTTTTATTTCCATACAAAACTTTGTCACGTCATCAACAAGAGAATCTAATCGCTCTTCTACATTGATTTTTTCATTAAAAATTTGAGCTAATTTGAATTGCGTGTGTGCAAGCATATATGCTGTTCGAGAATGATTATATATATTTAATGGAACTTGAACAAGGCCATAGCCAAGCATTAAAACCAGAAGAAAAAGACCCCAAGTTGTACTTGCTGCTACTATGGTTGCCTATGATTAAATCAATTTATTATTTTATACTTAATTGCTAATTGAATGTCTTGTTTATCTTAAATATCTTTGAGTCTATCAAGGGTTATTTGGATATCATATAATAGTGATAGTGATACTTCTAGAGAAACTCTTTGCATATTGAATTTCGATCTTTTTATTTCAAATTTAAGATAGATTTGTTTGAAACATTGTCGAACTATATGGTTCTACTAAACTTTTTTACTGCTCAAAGTTTTCATTGATTGAGAGCCACAATCAAGTTCATATTTCAAATACACATTTTATTTTACGAATGAGAGAAAAAATAATTTATATGTTGGCACAAGTGGAAATCAGAACGATGTTGACTGTTCGACATAGTTGAGCGAAGTTTATCGAGCTATTTTTGAACATGACACTTTTTGAAATATTCAAATCTCATTTAATTGTGACCAAACTTTGATAAATTATCTTAACAAAAATTAGAAAGATCTATAACAATTAAAACACAACAAAGTGTCAATACTCGTTAGCCTGAATATTAATTCGAAGATTTTTTTTCTTTTTGATATCACTATCCATATGGTTAAGAAAAAACTAGATACCACTTTCATGAAGACTTTCATTAATTTTTCACTTTAAGAGAACTTATGTGAAATTATTTAAAAGCAATAGTTAGGGATAGCGAAACAAAAATAATTCTTAACCCTTTCCAGCCGGCTCCCAGAAGCGACATAGTTAAAACTCTTCTTCTGCATATATTTTCTTATCCTGCCATAGAGATAGCAAAAAACTATTTCTTAAAATTGAACGGTGCTTCTATGTTGAGCGGCTGTATGTTGCCATTTGGCAACAGTCGGCCGTAAAGAGTCAAAACTTTGAAAAATTCATTTGTTGTTTTCGAACATCGAAATTCACTATTTTGCGTTTCTTTCATTTAATTATTCAAGAAAAAGTGTAAAAAAATATATACGATACGCCTGCACAGTTTCTCTGCGATTCAAATCGGCTTTTGTGCGAAAAATTTGGCATGCGTTGAACTAAAGGAGAGAGTAGATGTATGGGTTTTTTGTGTTAGTTGGCATCAGGATAGGTATTCTTGTAGATCTTTGATTTCTCTACATCCGTGTCGATACGTAGATTAAATATCCACTTCGATCCCAGTTATTGAGAGCTGCAATACTATCATACTGGCTTTTTTTCATAGAAAATTTCATTTAAAGCTAGTAAAAGCGATGTAAATGCACCGGATATGTTTTGTATGCTTTGTTCTTGTATGAATAAATGAAAAAACGAAAAATAGCGAATAACAATGGTCGAAAACGTAAAATGATTTTTCAAAAATGTTGACCCCTCACGGCCGGCTGTTGCCATTTGGCAACGTTCATATCTCTTATTGTCAGTACTCATTGAATCATCTCTCTGAGTGATACAATTATACAATAAATCTAGGAGGGGAAATTTACCACTAGTGATCTGTGGGGTTGAATGATGGAGGGTACCATAAGAATATCTATTATGATTCAGCTGTTCTTTGGGAGTATTCAGGAGGACTCCGGCAATTTTCTCAGTTGAACATTTTTGTTTTGTTTCATGGGCTATGAGTGTGTTCTAAAATATCTTGTAGTAATTATTGAACTATTGATTCATTATCTATCCACAGTATAGCTAAACCTTTCTTAAAATATCGGCACAATGCTACCAAATGACAACATCCGACCGTAAAGGGTTAAGTACAAAATCAGACTAATTAGCCTCGATGCTTTTCTCATATTTTCAATTTATTAGATCTTCCTGATTTTCTGTTAAGATAATTTATCGAAGTGCATCCACAATAATATTATTTTCCTATTTCAAACACAATTTGTTTCAAGGTGGCTCAACGAGCTCTATCGATCTATCTCGGGAAAAGAAACGCTTCGCAAATATGAGTATGTAGAAGCCGTTTAAATCAGTTGGCTTTCAATAATTGACCGCACACATTTTGGAAAAGTTATTTCATAAGTTCAAATCATGCATGCATCCAATTAGGTCCGATCGTGGAATGAAACTATTTAAATTACGTCAACTTGTCTGACTTTACCATCGAAATAAAAAGCAAAGTATTGTAATTCTAGATTATAAATATAAAAAGGCACTTTCGTGCCTGGTAAACTTAGTGAGATATTCCCAGTCAAGTATTTATATAAACCTCAAGACTTTTGAATTGTTCACTATACACATACAATCACTAAGTCAGTTGTGTTAGAAGTTTTCAAAGCTGATCTTTTCTTTCTCATCACATTTTCATTGACAATCATAGGAATAGAAAAGGAAATTCTATGGTTTCTTATCGATTCTTTCGCTGTGCGTTGAAAATTTTTTTTTTACCGTAAAATTTGATGAATTCAATTTAACTTTAGTTGCTACATAAATAACAAGAATAACAAATATCAGCAAAAGTGTTCCATAGAAAATTAAATTTGCTTTGATTGCATATCGAATTTTTCCTTTAATAGAAAATTCTCCTAAGAATATTTTAAATAGAAAATAGAATGCCAAAAGTAAATTGTCGAAATTGTATTAACCTGTCTCACAAAATGATTGCATTAATGGTAAAATAACCCTTTGAACAAAAAAACAAAATTCATCTTTTATTTTAATATTTTTCAATATAATACCAAGTAAGAACTTGTGATGTCCAATAAACAAGACGCCATAGAATTGTATATGACTTTGGATTAACATAAGACCATGGTTGTGGGCACACATCACTTGACGAGTTATTCTATAAAAATTCTTCATTTTATTGTAACATTGAAATAAATCTTTACTTCTATTGAACTGTTAATTATTGGTTTAACTGTTGCTGGTGCATGAGACAAACAATCTCGATAAGTGGCCTGAAATTTAAAATAAAATAGTTTTAAAATAAATTTAAAAATAAAATGATTTTTCATACAAGTGAAATATCCAACGGAAGAATGAAAACAATTAAAATCGAAAAAAACCAAGCGATGAATACAGCAACAGTTGTTACTAGATGTTGTCGACGGTAATTACCACAACGGTAAAGAAATATTAGTGTTATAATACATGAAAAAATTATATCAAAAATAAATACAAGATTTGACATTCTTTATCTAAAATGATTTATTTTTATTTTCATCGAATTTAATCGAAAGTATTTGTGAAAGAATAGCAAAACAAAAACAAGATGGTATACTTTTATTTATTTCTTAATTCCACTGATATTTGACATTTATGATCATCGTTATAATCAAGACCAAAATATTCATGGAAAGCTATGATTGACTGATATTCAATCTTTTTATAACAGGTTACAACTTTGCATGTACCAATATTATATACCGTCTATGTTTGTTGTTTAATATTAACTATTTGCAGCAAAATAATTTTCATTTAACATATGGAACTAAATATTAAGTTCTAGAATCAGAAGTAACTTGTATATGAATGCATAATGATTGAAGGGCAAATAATAAAGGTAAAAATGCTTTTGGTATATATGAGTCAATTGTAACGTCCATATTAAATAACAATATTCGGAAGAAATATCTTATTGCAAAATTGCAATATATAAGATCTTTGAAAAATATTCTTTAAGAATAACTAAGGCATTTTATATATTAAATAATACAATAAATAAAATACTAGTAAATAATATCCCGATTAATAACATTAATTATAATTTTTTACATCCCCTTGTTTTCAATAAACAACATTAGCATTTTTGCGTCGATGTAGGTTGACTGTATTTCAATTATGGAATATTGTATTTTGAATGAATTTAAATAAAATCTTGTAAAAGAACTATTAATATGTAAGATCAAATGCTTGATTTTGGTAAATGGTATCTTTTGTTGTATCTTATCAGCAGTTTAATAAACAAGTCATAACTTGAATAAGATTAGACTATTATAAATATGAGAGAATATGTTCTAGTCATTGTGAATACAGCATCTATCTAACATTTTTCAAGTGACATTTTGGAACTATATTTCAACTATAAAATTCATCAGTGGTCAATATGTCTATTACAAGTTGAAAAGAATCATTTCAGTCGTTCGATATCTTTCATTGCTGAGTACCAGTCATGTGCATATATAAATGTTAGCTAGATGATGATGAGACGGAAAGTGCATGAGTCATCCACAACGACATTAACAACCAATCGTTGATTTATTTATTTTAAAAAAATAAATCATACTGGCAATACCGAGTCAGTATTACCGACACAACCTTAAGAAATATTTTATTTAACAAATGATATCATATTTTTTTCAACATATATATCAATAAACATTTGTTTCTTATTTTGAAAAGTTCTAAGATGATCTTCTAAATCAGTTAATTTTTCTACTCATACGAAAAAACAAAACAAAAAATTCATAAGCAGTCTTACTACTAAATATATTGGACATTTAATGAACATTTGTTTGTGGACGAGTAGTTCAACATTTTTAATTGAACAGTTACAATAAGAACAATATTCTTTATGATATGTTTGATTATCAGCACGTGCAACAATTGGAAAACTGACAATATCATTATTTCGATTTATTTTAAAAATAAATATTTGTTTGACCAAAGTGAAAAGAGATTCATTTTTATCATGACGCAAATGGCAAGAGTAAAATGATTTTATTTCAGCACGAAGAAGATCATTTAATTCACCAAATTTATTATCATTTTCAATAATTGAACAAGACTGCTGAAGAGTAATACATAGTGGAATGCTATCATATGTGTAAATCTACGAGGGTCAATTGAGCACTTCACGATTGCTTGAATGAAATGAGATTTATGCTGATATCCCACACGTTCAAAAACAAGAATACCTAAAGAAAAAAGAAATAGTTATTATTATATAGATTGAAATTCAATAAACAGCACATCACTCTTCAACATATAGAATAAAGAGTATACAGAATATTTCTTAAGATATAATATATTATCAGTTTCCACTGCACGATTTAGTTTAAAGAGTTTCATTTCGCATCACTATTTTTATACATTTTGTAAAGGTATGTAAATATAAACTTACGGCTTAAAGCATACAGACGCTTAAGTTGTTCATCTTCGCCTATCATTTTTCTATTTATACTTGTGAACCAACATTACTTTGTTTTAGTCGATTTCTGATGTGCGAAATGGTGAAATATCAGGCAATTCTGGATATGAAATAAATTGTTTTATTTTACGAATAACTTCTACATGTTTATCATAAATAAATCGCTTGAACTGGATAAAAATAACAGGTGATACATGATTAAGTTTTGTTGATTGTAGTCCTAACACTTTCGCTTGACAATTTGAGCAATAAAATTGATCATCACCGGTTAATTTTTCTACTGAACAGAATTCATCAAGAGCTTGCTCAAGTGTTAAATAAGAAATAATCGAAATTGACCATAAACGTTCATAACTCTGTTTACTATTTTCATTTAAACATTGTGTGCATTTAATTGATGATTCTAATATAATACCAAAAATGATATGAATTGCACTGGATAAATTTGTAGCGTCGGATGAACGCGTAGACGAAAGACATTGAATTAAATGATCAAAAAGAACAGCCAAAAATTCAGAAGAATCTTCTTGATGGCCAGGTATAAAACTCGAAGATAATTTTGTAATATATCGAGTAGTGTACTGCAGCCGGGTCGGGTAACCGGCACCCGACCCGACCCGGTACCTGGGTCCGGGTGAAAAGCTCCGGGTCGGGCCGGGTGCCGGTTCTGGAAAAAAAAGTCGGGTCGGGCTGAGGAATTTTCAAAAAACCGACACCCGACCGGCCAACTAGTGATATCTAGAAGAAACATGAAATTTTCAGATATCATTGTCGATTTCAGTCATTTCAGTCATAGGAATGTGAATCTGATTGGGTTATTATTCACTAATATATTCAATAGTCACGACGGGTCACCTAACCTAACCCACAAACACGATTGTTCTACTTATATGTTAAAGAAACTTCGCTAAGTGTGCTAGCTGCTTTATATAACTGATCTATTACCGCCTCACATTTACATGAATCATCGTAAGTATCCATTCTCACATACTTCTACATGTTCATTAATTTTTACTTTTTATCCTAGCTCAGCTCTTCATCATCTCTTCTACCACAAAAACGTAGTTTTTAATGTTATATATTATTGATTGTAAGTATTCATTTCTCTATAATTTCTCATTTGAATTCACTTCTATTTTATCTTCTAGACCTTAGTTGAACAACAAAAACATTGTTTTTGATGTTATTTATTATTTTTATTGATCTTTTATTATCAATTATTTATTATCTATTATTTATTATCGATTATTTATCTCATTGAGATCATCTCACTAATAAACTATTAGCAAAATTTTGACCACAATCCGGTCGGGTGCCGGTCGGTTACCGGGTATAGTTGTCCGGGTCCGGTTCGGGTCCGGGCGTAAGGCCACCGGGTCCGGGCGGTTCCGGGTGTGGGAAAAATCAGTCGGGTCGACTCCGGGTATGAAAAGTTGCACCCGTGCAGGACACTAATATCGAGTCATAAGTACTGCTGATGCTTGTGATAATTGACCAAATGAATCGCACAAATTTTGAATACTTTTGTGAATACTTTCAATAACCGAGTGTAGAACACAACAAGAACAGAATTCGTTGTTTTCCATCAATGTACCTACAAAAAAAAAATAGATTTAAAATATTATCCTTTTCATACATTATAATTATCTGTCTATTAAAATATATTCAACGTTAAGTGAGCATAGTGTATAACTGCGAAATAATTGCCAATTATTCTTTCAATATCTTCATACTTTGGTTAACAATCAAAATGGTTGATGAATTACTCAACTTGATATACATATATATATATATATATATATCAAATAAACTAGTGTTTCATTTCTTCGTATTGGGAAGGAATTTTCTGAATATTTTTCGATTTCTGCTCATCACAGTTATGGAACAAAAGTAAAAAAGAACTTATCGTTGCTTTGGAAGAAATTTCTTGTTCGATGCATATTCTCAATCGACTTATTTCTTCTTACTTCAAATTTTTCAATGAATACTTGTTTGGTCGTATGTTGTTGAACTATTATATTAATTAGTGATCAAAGCTACATGCTATGTGACACGTAGTATGTGTTGTAGTAGTTGTCCATGAAGATCGAAGAAACCTTTTATCTTTTACTTTACTTGATATACTTTTAAATTTTTTAATCAATTAAACAAATGCTTAAATCCTCTTTTCTTTACTGTGAATGAAATAAATCATATGCATTAATCACGGACAATTTATATCTAGGAACGATTACAAAATTTGTTTTAATTATACTAAATAAACAATTGTTCGACGAATGAAGGCGACTATTTAACTAAAAAAAAACTAATATAAGTTTCGTCTGATTTGTACTTACTAACTCTAAATATCAATCAATAAAGTAACACAAAAGGATACATGTGCATTTATTTTCGTTAAACAAATTTCAACAAACTTAGATACATTATTACCGAACATTCATCGGCCAAGATACATGGATGGATGAAAAATTCAAATAACTTCTCAACGCTTGAAAGAAGATGAAGCTCAATAATATCGAAATAATTCCAGAGCAATTACACTACACACAGCGTACTGCGCTAATTGTTTGTATGGAAGTGTATACCAATTAGAACACATTCGAACGTGTTGTTCGCTTCGAACATATTGTTTGAATATGCATAGTTGATATTGTTAATCTCAATGGAAAAAATGATGGAATTCTTTGAAATGATTAGATATAATATTCTCTACGAGTATAGTAGTAGACGATGGCGTATTAAGTATGAGAAATGATGAAATGAAACTTATTACTTCCATATAATATCTATTTTCCAATACCATCGATTATATTTATTCAAGTTAGAATTGTCTTCAGGATACAAATTTTATCAAATGTTTCTCTTACATGACATATGAATTTCTTTATTTAATAGCCATTGAACGAATGGAGCAATGTTAGCTAGACATTGAATAATCGCGTTTATACAGCAAATATTTAAACATTGTTTTCGTGTGTTAGTGTTACTAAGTCCTAATCCATGTTTATGTGTTATTGACCATTCCATTTCCAATTCAAATGATGCTACTAACATTATATTATGAAATAGTTTCTTCAAGCGTTTCGATGGTGTTTCTTGTACGATATCTGCTGCGACACTTGAATTAACTGCACAGAATTCTAAACAGAAATTGAATAGTCAACAAAAGTAAACTAAAGGTTTATTTTCTTAAATATACTCGATTGATTATACTCTATTAAATTTGTTGAATCGATGATAACCGGTATTGATGAATGTGCTCGTTCCAAACATTTTATATAGAACCATATCAAAATATTTAATTCTCTCTTTTATTATAACCCAGGTCGAATAGTCCGGCCTGGAAACGGCGGTTCTGGATAGTTTCGTTGATTTTGTGGAAGCAGTATTCCGGTTGGAAATTTTTCGTATTTTTTCCGGTGATTTCCGATCAATTCCTGCCAGAAAGCACTGGAACTTGACAGGAGTTTGCCGGAAAAGTCCAGCCGTATTTTTGACCGGAATACTGCTTCCATGTTCCAGCGATTTCCCGTGTTTCCCTGCAGGATATGGTGACTTTCCCGCATATTCCCTGGAGTATCCTACGGGATCCGGTGACCGGAATGTTCGACCTGGGAAACAGTATTCTCTTCAATTAAATCAACAGGTACAATATTATCAACTAAAATATAATAAATTCTACTCAAATTCATCGTGAAAATCAAACTATGTATGATACCATATTGATGCGTGTTCGAACGAGTTGAAATTATTTTATGTTCAATTTTTGAAAGTGGTGATGAAGTAAAAATATTGTTTTTTGAATGAACCTATGGAAAAAAATGAAGATCAATTTCTTAAACCAATATAAATTATATTACATTGCTTGAACTAATATTAAGAATAGAATTTGTATTTTCTTTTTTTGTTTATCATTATTTGGTGTTTTAATAAATCGAAAATATTCAGCTATACCCAGGTCGAACAGTACGGTCCGTACACGGCCATTGACGGCCACTTTACGACTATTTTACGGGCGAAATTTTGCCGTAATATCTGGCGCAGTAATACGGACCGTATTATCATGAGAGTACGGAGCACAAACAGCCGTAAACCATGAAAATTCAGTCCCGTTTACGATGCCGTATTACTGCGCCAGGTATTACGGGCAAATACGGCCTATTTACGGCCGTAAAGATGCCGTTTTGACATCGTTTACCGTCGACAAACAGATCGTAAACGAGTCCGTTTTGATCAACCTGGGTAACTTGATCTTCATCTTGACTGTTTTCAATAGCACGAATAAGTGTAAATGGAATGTGATTTACTACACTAACTAAAGCTGGACTAATACCACCTGCAATTGCTTTCATACAATTTTTAATTACAGTTTAAAGTTTAACTTTTGATGTTGTACCAAACCGTTTCTGCAAATCAATTGAATCTCCGTAGAGATCTTTTCTAATTTGATCAACACTAATATGATGTAAAATTGAAACTATATCTATTGAAAATGATTCACCAAACTCTTCACATGCATCTAAGGCAGCTGCAGCTAGCTTTTGAATGTTTTGATATTGAAATTCTAATTGTCCATTGTGCTTAGCACCATTTATAGTACGAATATTTCGAGTCATATACTCATTATTTAGTACAAACTCTAAAGTTTAAGAATATATATTACTCTTGTAAATCGGAATCAAATTTATGAGTATCATAGAGTAAAAAAAAATTGAATCATAGGAAACGAATTCTATAAGTCATGCACGCTCCATGACAGACAAAAAATTCACGATAAAATATGGACTCGCATTTTATTGGGTAATTCGCTTCATATGACGGCGACCACATTTCTTTAGCTATTATCTCTAGCTGACTTCAGATGACCATAATTTTAGAGTATGATAACTGAAGAAGAACTTGCATCGATATTAGATAAATATTTATTAGGAGAACTTACTTCTTCATCATTAGAGCGAATAACTGATGGATGGACCAATCTAACAGTTAAATTTCATATAAAATCAAATGAAAAATATTATATTCTTCGCGAATATCTTCCAAGTTTACAACGATCCATTACAGTAGAAGATATTCAAATTGAATTAGATTTTGTTTCTTATCTTTTTAAGCATTATCATCTACCAGTTGTGCCTGTGATTGACCCACCGGGCACTTTTTTAAATAATAATGGACATTATTGTGCTATTTTCTCGTTCATTGATGGAATTAAGCATATTAACACACCAGACAATCCTCTGCGTCAATTGTGGCAAACAATAGAAATAAGTCGATTCCTTGGTCGACTACATTCAATAGATAAAAATAATTTCTCGTTTCGTTTTAATCGTCGAACAATTAATATTGTTGATACTAAGTATCAACTTGTTAATTGTTGTTATGAATTCGAAAACGATGATCCACATCTATATAAACGAATTCGTCGGATTCTTGATGAGTATACGCATGTAATTCCATTAATTGAAGATGAACGCGAGAAAATAATATTTGAAGAAAATTTTGAAAAAAATCTTCCAAAAGGTTTTATACATGTTGATATTCATGATGAAAACGTTCTATTCTGTCCTAATCAAAACAAAATCGCTGCAGTACTTGATTTCGATGATATGTCTTTTGGTCCTTTTCTCATCGATATCGCCATGACATTATGTTTTTGGTGTTCATGTGGGTCAAAATTTAATATCGATTATGCTAAAAAGTTTTTAATCGAATATCAAAAAGCACGAAACATGCCATTAACAAATGATGAATGGAGTTTATTAGAGCTTTATTGTTATATGACGATGTTTCATCAAATACTATTTGCTATTCAATCGCGAGACAGTGGACGAATGATTAGTGAAACAATCAACGAATTAATTTTACCAATTGAGCAAATTTCACAAGATAAACTGTTTTTAAAACTCAGTGAGGACTTGCGCTAGCTTTTTTTCTTTCGATTGTAAGTTGTTGTGCATCAGTGTCTAAAAAATATCAAATATTTTCATCCAAATAAATGCAGAGAAAACCCATTAAAAATGATTCAATTTTGTGAAAAGAATTTAATTCAAAATCGTATATTGCGCATATTTTTAGTTTGAATCATTTCAGATCGAACTCTTTTTATGCAATTGATATGTGGATGCATCAAGATGTTTTGATGGTGTATGATTTTGATTTTCATACAAGTATCTGATTTTTTGCATGAGTGATGAACACAATTATAGGATATTATGTACTAAACTTATGAGTATCATACAAACCAAGAAACTTGATATATGATAAAATACAACAAAAATAATAACAATTGTTCTTTTCTATCACAGTTGTCGTTATGTAAACAATGGATTTCTTCAATAGTCGGCTAATGTTAAATAGGAAAATAAAGTGCAGACAAAAAGTTGAAAATCATATAAAAGATAACATTTAATTAGAATTGATTAGATGTATTCTAAACATTTTTTTCACCGTTTCTACAATTGACCAGATAAAATAGTAGAATTATCGATAGTTTATGGTCGCTACAGGCTGTTGAAGTTACTTTTCGTAGCTACTACTATTACTGCTTTTCGTAGAGAAGTAAGCGAGTGAACAAACATCAGCACACTTGAATAAGAATGTTTCACGATAGAACTAGAAGCCTTCTAGTGCATATCATTGTGACTAGGTCTCAAATTTCCAGTGAAATTATGTCCTTCCGATCTGACTTTGTTGTATGAGATAGTTAAAAACTTCCCATGAATGAAACCAATTACAATAGTGTGGTATCGCATAAGAAAAGAAAAAACAATTATTTGTTTTTCAAAGCATTTATTCTACACTTCGATATATAATGATAAAAGTTATGTTATCAGTGGAGTTGAAACGAAAAAGGCATTGATATTGTCTTCTCTCTGTCTATTCATATTAGATCAATAACAAGATCGTTATTAACAGCATAAGTTGAATCCCATTGATCAGAACTTCCTAACCATGAATTATATTCGTTAAACTGCCATGAATCATAAAAATCGTTCGCATTAGGTGCACCCATATCGAAAAACATATCCTCTTGATTATTGAAATATGTTGATGGTGTTTCAAATTTTAATGGTATTGATTTTAATGCGTCAACAGATGCTTGAAATTTTGGATCCATTATTTGACATTGAATTAGAAAGTCTGGATCAATTGTTCCACCTAACCGTAAGGCAAATTTAACGAGTGCACATGAATATGGACATGCACTTGACATCACAAATGGATCAGACTGATAATAATCAACCATTGTAAGTAAATACAAATTGTATGAATATGCTAAAAAGAATGTATTTTTATGTAATACTTAATAAGGTGTTAATGTCTTTATATTATCAATAGAAAAAGATCAAGGTGAAAATTGGTCAAACGGAACAATGAATAGATGCATAGTTATGTGTATATCTGCTTATCATCGCTCTTTTGTATTTTTCGCTTCAATGACAGTGCGTATGGACAAAATCAAGAACGATACGCTTGAAATAGTTCCTTTCATTTTGAATATTAACACGAGACTCTAAGTATAAGTAGATAATAATATAAACGAATATAAGATTACCTTCAAACTGTCGATGTTTTTTGTAAAAAAAAGCCTGAATTTCTCATTATTTACGCAAGTTTTATTGGTTTGATAACTTTTATGTAACAGACAAGATATTTAATCTGAGTAATAAAAAGTTGAAAGACAATCGATGATTTCAACGTCAAATATTTAAGCTTGATTTTACAATTCTTAGTTGATTCAATGGTGAAAAATTGATGTCTTAATCTTTTTTGAATAATCTAATAAATAAACTAAATGATTGATTCCAACGATGTTATATTAAAGATATTTGCCAATGACAAATTTGTGAAATTATATATATGTCCTCTATATTCGTAGGTATATTAATTATTGCACATGAATACGAACAATAGATAGCATTCATTTACTCCCACATTCATACGTTTTTAACAATCCTTGATATGTCATATGCGAATCTATAATAATATGTTGTTTATCAATAGACAAAACAAAATACTATGAAGGTCGATACTTAAAGCCCCACACTACTAATATGCTTACACATATTGGATTAATTACTCTAGTGTGAAGGTCAAATATAACATAAACATTTCCTTTTTTCAAAACAAGTGCCTCGTTTAATATAATATAAGAATCGAATTAAAAACTGTATCATAATTGAAATTATTATTGCGTTATGAATTATCAGGCAAAAGGTAAAAAAAAGTAATTTACAAAACTTTACTGAGACATGACATATTTATGGAGATTCTTCATTCGAGAATCATTGTATATAACGAAGATATCAGTCATTCTAAGATATAAAATATTTCATATAGTTGACGAAACTGAATCTCTCAGTATTTTGAAACATTTTGTTTGTTGTATTCTCTGCATCTTTTACATTGTTATGATTGGAATACCGTTGATTCAGGTCAAATAAAATATGTCTCGTCAGCTATCCTGTTTAACAGCTAAAACGAGATTAAACTAAAGAACTTCATTTATTTTCATAAAATATATGAAAAAACAGAGAAACTATGCGAATCATACAGAAAAATGTATACTTTAAAATACTATCGTTACTGTTCATGATTGACCAAATACTTTTTGTTCGTAGATTTTTTCATCAGTTGAATATCGATAAACAATAAATAAAGTTTCTTTACACAAATCAACAAAACGATAACAACAATCTAATTCGATCTCGGATAAATGATTTGTACTTTTCACAAATAATGATTCCCATGAACTATTTACAAAAAAAAAGAAATAGAAACTGGAAGAATGAATATGTGGAGACTTAAACTCAAAAAAATTTCAGCTTTAAACAGGTAAGTACATAAAATATATCGAGTATCTTGAGAAATCAATAAATTTCTAATCATTATATTTAACCAAGTGCAGCATCCGTATATTTATGAAAAAGACTTCTGCTGCAATTTTATGTGGACTAGAATCAATTTCAGTTAAAATATCTAAATGACGTGCTCATAAGTGTCTTCAGTAGAGCGATGGTAGATTGCCAGTCAGCGAATAACTATCCGATAACGAGCGCAATAGAATGACGATGAGAATAATATCACCAACTGATTCAGTATCTAACTGACCTCTTTTGATTGTCAGTATAGGGTACTTCACATTTAATGGTCTACTTACTATAGTTTGTTTTTGAGTCAAATCACATGTGTGAATCTTATATTCACTTTCAATTTCTCATTTACAACAATCACTACTTCTACAGACATTATCTGTATCGTGTTTTTTTCGTATTGGACTTCTAGAGCATCAACTCTCTTTGTACTTTTCAATCGTCTATTCTAGAAATATGTGAACCTATAGTTTAATTACTTATGCTTGTTTTGACATGTATCCCACAAACACTGCCCATGATTGGCTAGTAAACGTCGTTGCAATTTCATTAAATGACGATTTAATGATAATTGCTGAGCAAGTTCATCAAAAATACAAAGCTTCTTAATGATTTGTTGTACATTATTCCAAACAATATCTATGATTGATTGGCGTTTATTTGCATCGAATTCAGCTAACCAAAATCTGCCAATGTCAGATTTATATTCATTCCAATTTTTCATTATCTAGTTTTATATAAAAATAATGAATTAATAAACATTTCGAATTTGAAATAAAACAAACCTCAATAAAAATATGATTTGTTTCTTTATATGATTTATTTGGATAATGAATACATAATTTATTCATTTGGTCAAGTATTAATTGATACAAACGATTTATATCGTCATCATTTAATTGCAATTTCTAACAGAATAAAAATAAAGATTAGTCAAATTAACGTTAAGTAAATTTGTAGTTTTGAAATACTTTTTTCATGTCAATTACTGCTGATTGATTGTTTGATGATGATTGTTGCTGTTGTTGTTGTTGTCGCATTGCGCGTACAATAGATGAGTATGTAACTATTTGAGATTTATCATTTGAGTTTTTAGTTTTCGATGAGTGTAGTCGTTGTTGATCAGCATATTTTGATGGTGCTGGCAGTGTGGAATAAGCTTCTTTTTCTGTTATTCGATTAGCCGATACACCCGGTGGAATTTCATCTGATTCTGCTCGTGATCGACTTATGTTGCCTGTTGAAATAAGTGAGTTGGATTGCTGTTTCTTCTTATTTAATGATGATAACGAGCTTGATCGAACAATATCCGATGGCGTCTGTGTTGATACTATTTTCATCAGTGTATCACTTGTTGACGATGGATATCTTTGAATCCGATCAGAATATGATGAGTCTAATTTAAATTGTTTTTCGTTTTCATTTTCCTCAAAAATAAAACTAGTCGAAGATGATAGATGGTTTAATTCAACACTTTCATTAGATGTCTAAATAGATAAATTTATTTATTTTACAAGTACAGAAAACGTCTTCGAAATGATATTATAAAATAATATTCATCATCTTTCATGTTGAAACATGAAAACATAAAGAATCAGATATCCAGTTATAAGACATTTTCGTTCCTACGTAATTGGCTAACATAAAACGCTATACAAAATACTTCTGGCAAAACTATCCAATTAAGTTTATTGATGAAAATTTCGATAACCTCTTCAAATACTTTTGTTCCGTAATTTAAATAGTATTCCATCAGAAGAAGACATATAATCGTATCATGATATTCGATTTTTAGTTCGACAGATATGGATTCATAGATAACTACAACACTGTTTTATTGATGAAAATCAATAAGCTCTTCTCAAAGACTTAAAGAAAAACAAATTTCATAGTGCAAGACAGAATTACTACTCGATGAAGCCGCTATTATCCGATTTAATAACGATTAATACTCTTGAGACTACACTCTTCAGATAGTTTTTGTTCAACTAGCGTAAGTTTTGTTGCCGTTCCAGAATTTTTACTTTTCAACTATCAATATGATAAGATGAATCATTCATATGCCATTTGCATACGGATCTAGTTATAAAACACTGAGAAAACGAGAAATATTTTACAAGTTGGTCGAATTATTACTACTAAGCTCTGAACTGATTTAGTGACTCTCACATGACTATTTTTTACATGCCCTTCATATATACTGTTCAATTTTGCAAATCAATCATTACATGAGTTAATTTTGATCTATCTTGAAGATCTCTTTGATAAATATTTTGCAATTGAACTATCTTATATAATAGTTCTTCTTCGTTATATTGATTGTAATATTTCGTAGTCCATGATAAATCATCTCTATGTTTACATAAAACTTGAAAGCATTTTGCCAAAATATTCATTAATTCATTCATTCGATGTTGATCATTCACTGGAAATAAGCGAATGAAATCATTTGAATGACGACTTTCAAAATCTTCTCGTTGTTTTTCTTGCCGGAGAAGATGCAAAATTTCTTTCTACATAGAGGAAAACAGATTGAAAATAATTTCAAATGAATCTTTTTTCTTTTACCATTTTACTTAATTCATCAGTTTGATTATTTATATATTTTCCAATATTTGCGTACAATCGACGTTGCGCTTCAAGTTTTTCAATTGCAATACTCTTCTTTCGATCGGATACTCGAAAATGAAGTAAATCTAATGTATCAAATAATAATTTAATTTTAATATCAAATTCAATTTGTCTGTTAGCATCAAAACTTGGACAACGATTAACCTATTTCAATTGTTGAACAAAAAATAACATATAGATTAACAACGTTTTAAAACAAACTTCAATAATCCAAGGCTTTAATTTTTTATCAATTAGTATATCAAAGCTGAGTAGTTCAAAGCAAACACTTTCACTTGTTGACAACGCTCCTGGACGACACGTTCGATAAGTAGTTAATATATTTGGTTCAGCAAGAAATATAGTTTTTATTACAATGTCCTTAAAATAAAATGAAAATTTCTTTCTATTTATTATGCATTTAATTGTTCTTACTTGTATTTCTTTCTGTAATTTATTTACATCTTGATTTTGATTTCTTAAATATTGAAATAAATATTTTAGTCGATGACTTTTTCCAATATCTGTGTTGAAAGAATTATCTGTATCGTTTTTATTTATTAAATAATGTGTTAAATGCATAGAAAGATCAGCCTAAATAAACATTTTGACTTCTATTCAAAACTAATCAATAAAAGAAATAAAGCATACTGCATTTTTTGAATTAGGTATCTTATATTTTTTTGGACTCATTCGAACAAGGCCATCATTATATAAAAAAACACGTAGAGGATCGCATGAAGTTATTAGAACATAGATTTGAAGATCTTAACAATAAGAAAAATATTCGAAACGCATGTAAGTTAATATAAAAATATATACCGAATTTGAAACCTTCTATTAAATAAGGTTCTCGTATGTATTCTTGAATGATGTAATTATCCATGGGTTCAATCTGTTTATAATCACAATAAATTGAAATTCTACATAATAAAAAATATTTTAATAGAAATAAGTATACACATTTGAAGAAGTTTTACCCTTCTTCCATATTTGCATGAGAAGGTTTAACAATAAAAACAGATGGATTATTTTTCGGTTGACTAGATGCATACGAATACCACAAATTATACTCCTTTGATAATATCCAAGTTTTCGGAGCGAAATTATATTCTCTTGGAACAACGTTTGATAGTCTGAATATTATAAAAATTATTGATATTTAATGACGAACAATCAAATAAACAATATATACTTATCATAATTTGCTTGCAACAGATCTTTATGTGATATTTCAATTGTTGTTGGAAAATGATTTACTTTCTGATAAGGCTTAAGTGCAGATACAATATCGATAGAAATCAATGAATCATTCCACAAAAGATTGCATGTAAAGTCAGGCGCTGGGCTTTCGAAAAAACCGGATGTGTGAACAGCTTGACGAACTAAAAATTTACGCATTAAAATTTGAGCACATTTTGATATAAAAAAAAGCTGTTGCTTGAAAAGTGAATTGAATTTTACAAAGAAGAAGAGTTAACACATCTACGTTAACTAATTAGGTATCTTTTAAATGCATAGATTTGACTCTAAATGAACAGATTTGTTGTGTATTGATGATTTAGCGGGTCAATCAGCTTCTCTTTTGTCAATATGATAAATATGTTCCGAGCACAACTCAATCAATGCAGATACATTTCTTAGTACACATAATAAATGAGGGTTCACTTAACTTCATATAGTATTTTATATTTTCTATATAATTACTTTGTTCCTATAGCTAGAGTGATGTGGCCGTGAACTAAACTATAATTCAGTCTCTGAGTTCATCTTTATAAACATTCTACTGACTGATATATTCACCGTCGAGTCTATTGAGCTTATACAATATTTTATTTCACGGGTTTCTCCAAGCTCAAGCATTCATAAGTCAACATCAAATTGTTTATATGATAGTAGTTTGAGTTGAACTTGATGGAAGGCAGACAGATATCGACATTTCTCTAGATAAAATAAAGAAAAATCGACTTACTTAAATCGAATTTTGTACCCAAAACATTTGCATAAAGGCCTTGTTTTCTTTTTGGTTCATATGGTAATATATTTTTATCAATAAATTGCTGTTTGCGTCTTTCTTCTAACTTCTGCTCTCGCAAAAACTTAATCAGATTTTGAAATTGTTTTGTTGAATCTTGAATTGAGCCCATATCAAATTGATGTGTTCTAATACCTAATTGTTCGCCTAATCGTTTTAAATCGGATAGACTATGACTGCTTATTAAAGAAGCATGAAGTGCTATTTCCAGCAATTTATCATCAGGTTGATGAATTAAATGTTCGAAAGCGTGTTCATAAGACATTAATGGTTGAATTTTAGTCTTAGTTGATTTTGAACTGCGAGAAGCTTCACGCCAAATGCGAACAAGTTGAGATATCGATGCACTTGTCCAAGCAGCCTCGTACACAATTGTTACAAGATTAAGAAGACCTGCACGGCGTAGCGATATCTTGTCATTGTTGCTTAATGTTTTGTATTCATCAAGTTCTACTATTGGCCAAGGAAAATTTGTCGATGATAATTTTTTTGTTTTTTTTTGTTTTCGATGAGTAGTTTCCAATGTTACATTCATAATCTCATAACATATAGCAACTAAATTTTCAATACCAATTGATTTAAGACGAAGGCGATCATCATCATGCCGTTGATATTTCCATTGTCCTTCGATAACAATTGATCTCAATGAATTAATACTTGATGATCGTGATCGTGATCGTGATCGTGATTGAGAAGCATTTAGTTGTTGATCAACAATTGATTTTCGTAAAACTCGATGGTCATCGTTACCTTTTTCATGGCGTGTTGTAGGTGATTGGCTTGATGTTCTAATTTGAGATGGAATTAATGATTGGTCAGCAGTTAATCTTTGTAATTTTCGATAGTCATCATTCCATTTATCATTTGAGGTCCTAGGCGACTGACTTGATGTTCTACTACTGGTTGGTTTCATTGCTAGTTCATCTAACACTTCATGATTGCCAATGATTGATGGTATTTGACGATATTTAAGACGACTATTCGATGAAGGAAGCATTACTTTTGTCAATTATCAATTGTCAGAAAAGTATCAGATTACACTATTATCCTCCAAAGCTGAAAGTTAAAGCAACCATACGACAATGAAGAATGCCAGGTAACGAACCTTAATTTAATTCATTAAAAAGCATGAATGATAGATATCACTAGCTTACTATGTTCACAGAAAAGAATAGACAAATTGGAAATAAAGTATGAATTCGTACTACTTCGTTGATAGATAGATCTATTGCTCCATATGGAATGTAGAGAGCGGCATACATACTTTTTGTTCAAAGTTAACTGCTACGATTTTTGAACCACACCAATATAAAATGAATAGTAAGCTGCTCGTTTCTTCCTCCTCACTGCAAGTTTTCCAGACTTCACTGAATAAAAGTAAAATACTCAAAAAGATATCGCTTAACTATCATATTCGATGACATTGACATCAGCAGGTGCCTAAAAATAACGAAGAAAATGTCGTTTTGACAAAATGAGAACGCCTTCGCCATCTATCAATATTCAAACTCGAGAAGTATCCGGTGGACACGAACAATTGATCGAGACTATGTTGTCCATGGAGGAGAACATGGAATCAATCGCTGCCTACAACCAATGACCTAATTCCAGTTGAGATTTATCTTGTTTACAGTTCGCTTTTGTTCTAGTCGATGCATTTTCGTTGATCATATTAAATTGAACAGGGGCGCAGTTTGGTCGCTAAGGCAGGGGAAGGAAGCGTAACATCTTCGTTAGCACAGATCTAGCATTAAAATACTCCTCAAGCATATACCTTAGCAGTGCACTTTTCTCTACACATTTATTTTGAATACTAATCAATCAATTGATTACTAAAGTAGGCATCGTACGATACTCTACTTTCATCATGTAGCTAGTGTTGTTCAGTTACAGAATCATTTTGGTTTATATTTAAACTATTACAACGTAGTCATAACTATTGCTTTGAAATTGATTTTATCAGCCTATCGTAAATAGATATATGATAATATGTAAAAAAAAACTAACTCAAAACCCGTGAAATATTGGTTAATACTTGGTTTTCTTTTCTCTGGCATTGATCTTCGGTACCAATACCAATCTTTGTTAGAAGCTAGTAGAAGTGGATCAGAAAGTTTAGCATCATATCCCTAGAGATAAGCATTTATAGTTATAAATTTCAAATAACAAATACTTCTAAAATATTTAGAGAAATGTACAAACTATCAATCATTTGATGTACCTTATGCTTTTTACATTTGAAAAAATGGTATTCATCAACAACCAAAATAATGGATTAAAATTTGGTTAAGAAAGCTATAGTTATAACTTTTAAAGACTACTTCCATGAAATCTATTACATCAATCAGAAATTTCTATGGTCTAGTTGCATTAATAATCTTTAATTCTATTGAATATTCATTCCTCTACGAGAAAATAAAAGGTGAAGTGAAAGTTTCAATTAAAATGATCAATAGGTCTAACTTTTCTGCGGAACGGTCTACAGCTGCTATTTATCTAAAGTAGAATAAGAAATTGTCTTCTCTAGTACTATTAAATTAAACTTACTAATGAACTCAGATTATTGGATTAAAGTAATTGGTACTCGAAATTGAAATTAGAAGAGAGAAACTCTATATTTCAAAATAGAAGCTGACTCCACTGGAAACATGGAAAATTTACCAAAATTTTAAAATTTTAAGATTGCCTTCAGTCGAAGTACAGGTCTTATTGTATAAAATATTCATATAAAATTTTCACTAAAAATGCTGATCATGTGGACATCATCAAGTCAAAAGGCGATTCAATATGAATAGTAATAAATATCACAAGTATTTTTTTTAAATGTCACATTGCGTTCATGTAAGCATTAATTATTTTAACCTTTTCACTAATTTACGAATATTTAAAGCAATTGAAATACACTGACAGGATAAATATTATATTTGTTTCAACCAATAAATGTTCAGTATAATAATATTAGTAGAAAGAAAATGAGCATTCTAAGAATACAATTGAAACTAACAACATGTAATAGATAGATTTAGAGTAATTCAAAACTTATCTTTATTATTTGTTGCAATAATTTAGCAGTGTTAAAATTTATTTTGAAAAAAACAAGAATCTTAAAATAACTAGCCAAGATAATTACATTACACGTATCAAATATGACGAGAGATAGAATGATTGATACGCAACAGTCAATAAGCGATTTTATTGTGCAAAAATAATATTTTAAATGACTAGATTTATAATATATTTTACGATGACTTCAGTATTGTCTGTATTCAAATATGTCAAATTTATCGTTTATTCACAACTTCACGTCGAATTTTCGCTACCATGGCTCGACGCTTTTCTAATTCATCATTTGATATGTGTTGTTCTTGTTTAACTGTAGTTCCCATCGCCTTTCGTGCAACATTAGCAGCTGATTGCGGTCGAACATGACTACTTTCTTTTTCTAATTCTTGAATACGCTGATTATGCTGCTGTTTAATAATCAGATCCCGTTGTTGTTTAAGAAAATGTTCTCTTGATGATATTGCCGATGCAGCTGGATCATTAATTGATGATGTTGTACTTATTGTTAATTCTCTTAATTTTTCACGAAGAATTTCTTCCGGTATAGAAGCGATTGTGCTTGGTTCCATATTTGACTATGACAGAAGAAAAATATTTTATTTAAATTAAAAATAAAAATAAAAATATGAACTACTTTAGTTTCTTTCGATTGGAGTTGTTTATTTCTATTAGTTGTCATTTCTATTTTGTCGTTTTGATTCAAATGTGATGATGCTTTTGAAGCATTCTCTGCTGAAATTTTACTTGATGATAACGATGCCGATGATGTGGCTTTTAATAATAATTGTAAAACTCGATCATCATTGGCATCTGTTGATTTTAATATGCCACATTCTAATTGTAAATTAACCAATGCTTGTAATTGAAGAATTAAATTTTTTCTTTTCATCATTTCTGTAAATAAGTAAAAATCACTTATTGAATACAATTGTTCATAGGATTCATCAATTGTTGTTGAATTATTTCTTTGATAGAAATCTTTCACTTGATCTATATCTAATTTAAGATCTTCACTAAGACCAGCTATTAATGAATTAGCTAAATTTTCATATTGTTTATAAATATTCTTTTGTTCAGTAAATGAACATAATGACGATGAATTATCATCATCATAATAATCAAAGCAAGCACAATTTGTATCAATAAATGTTTGAATTGGCGATAACCATATTGATGAATGAATAAAATCAACGATTATATCACCTATCCAATTTTCTTCACTTGTCGACATCTTAAATTTTCCTTTTTCAGACTTTTCCTACCATGGTAAATGTAGAAGAGGTGGAAACAGCCTTACTGAAAAATAAAATTAAAACATAGCGTCCTCTACAGAGAAAGGAATTGTGCGAAAATTCATCGAAATTATTTTATCCAATTAAATAAAACTCGTATTTTACTATTACTATATGAAATAAAATTCGATTCTCTGTTAATTTTACTTTTTCAGAATACATTTAGTTGTATTATGTTGCCTAAAGTTCGTCGTTTTCTTAATGATACTAAAAATACTTCTTATACTACAAACAATAAATTAACTTCATCAACTGATCGTTTAAGTAACAAAAGTAGTAGTTCAAGTTCAACAGATGAAAACAATGGTAATTTCTATTAATTCATTTTGTATTTATCTAATTTAATTTTGCTTTAGTTTATACCGAAACATTATTATATATTGTACATGTTGATGAAGTTAAATTAGCAACCGATCAAAAACATCATGATACGCATGATAAACAAAAATCGAATCAACTAACGAGAGGAGTATCAAAGCGGACAACAGCCAGTTTTAATGAACGACGTCAACATCGAGAAATTCAAGCATCAAATGTACCACCATCAACACCACCCTCATTTAGTTTTTCTAATCCATTTCGACGCTTGAATAGTAATGAATTCAAGTTTCTTGTTAATATTTTATTTTATCTTTTTTGTTTGTTATAGATTTACTTAAGGCAACTGATAAATCTATACTAAGTCCATCAACACCAAACCTCAATGGTAAGAAAATCTAATAAAGTTTTTTTTTTTAATTTTGCTTCTAAATTTTATCTATTCAGTGACGCCACTATGTTCGTCAACAGTAAAGAATTCGTCTACTTTTAAACGATCTCGCCCACAGAATCGACATAGTATTGAATTATTTCCTCCACCTCCACCTGAATTTCTCTATGATACTCCAACGAGCAGTACAGAAAAACAACCAAGTATTCAAGCCAGCGGTCCTGGTCTAAAAGATGGCTTTGTTAATGATAGCCGTTCGTATATTTTATTGCCTTTATAAAAGAAAAATTATTGTTTATTTACATTGAAGGTCAATTTGATTTAAATGCGCCTGATGCTGAATTGCAAAAACTTGTGATTGCAATTGATGGACCATCCAAAGCTGATATTCAAATTGAAGTTATTGATATAGGAATCTATAGAGTTCATTACAAATGTCAATCGCCTGGTAAGTCAAAATAATTTTTATGAATAAGTATTATATATTTTTATTCAGGCAAGTATCATATTTCATTGACGTACAATGGTATACATATTGTCGGTTCACCTTATCATTTGTCTTTACATACTCAATCATTACCAGAACAAGTTGTTCCACCCGCTAACATACCAATTCGTGCAATCATTGAACCAGTGGAATTTTACGTATGGTTTTCATTCTATTTCAAAATGTAACTTTTATCTTTGATTTATATTAGGTCAATATTCCATGTATAGTCAATGTTCGTCCAGAAATATCATGTAACATCTTTCAAGCTTATATACAAGCACCACAAGGAAATGTTAATTTACCAATAACAGTTCATAAATCAGCTAAATCAGGTTAGATTCTATAGACAAAAGAAAAAGAAAGAAGAAAAACTACAATGTTTGTTTTAAACACCGATTGGTGTTCATCGAGAACGAAAGATACTATGTACTCTTGATTGTAATATTAAATTTAAGTAAATGATGAATCGAATAGTCTTAGATAATAGTATGTACGAATCGTACTGAACCAATGGGTTTGCTTTGAGATATTCATCAGTATTAGTGTGAATTCCTTCGAAAACAATCTTTTTCGTAACATCTAAAATTTAATATTCAGAGTATAATTAAACTTTTCGATGAAACTTATTTGATATAGTTTTACCTTTTTTTTGTTTAGAATACTATGAAATATTTTTTATACCAAATACATGTGGAAATCATTGGCTTAATATCAATCTTAATCATTTACCTATCGTCGACAATCCTTATCGATTGATTGTACGACCGTGTTCTTCCATGAAATCAATGGTGAACAATAAAGAAGAGCAATTTCACGCGTTCAATGGTAAGGATAGTTGCGATGGCTGAGTGGTTAAGGCGTTGTACAAGAAATCTAATGGGATCGTCCCGTATGTATGGTTTTTACCAAAATGAACTTGAACAATAATGAAATACTTGAACAAACATCAAGTTCGAATCCTACTCGTAGCGCTTTGTTTTCCTCTGTTTTGTTGTGTTATGAAAAATGAATGAAAAAGAAAAAAAAATCAAAGAGAGTATTGCTGCATGCATTTTTCTTTTCAGGAGAACTAAGTCAATTTTTTGTATCAAAATCACCATATGATCCATTGACGAGTACAGGAAATTTTTCCGTCGGTATTAGTGGACCATCAACTGTTTTTCTTGATGCTAATGAAACTGAATATGGCTATGAAGTCAGTAATCTATCACTAACAATTTATTTCAAATTAAATCGAGTTTTATTTTAGTTTCATTACAAACCAACTCGAATTGGAAAATATTTAATAACAGTTAAAAATAGTGGAAAGCACATTCAAGGAAGTCCATTTGTTTGTCGTGTTTATGGTTTGTCTAAATTTTGCATAAGGATAGTTTTTCGATAGGTATTCTTTTAGATAAACTTGACGAAAATCGAACGAATGCTTCTGATGCATTATTGCCTATGCAATCGAAATTAAATCATGCGAGTAGTCATGCCAATATTGATAATCTTCGTTTATCAATGACAGGTAATGCTTCACAAATTTGTGTTTTCGGTACTGGTTTATACGAAGCTAAAAAAAGAAAAAAATCAACATTTAAAATCGATGCAAGCCAAGCAGGTCTGTGAAAATGATTTTTAAAGAAAAAAACATTTTTCATGAATCTTTTAATTAAATTTAGGTCCTGGCATACTTTTAGTGGGCCTTTATTCTCCTCTTGGGCCATGTGAACGTCTTGTTGTTAAACGTATCATGCCGTTTTCTCCCGGTTTTATATATCAAGTATCTTATCGAGTGCGAACACGTGGTCAATATATTTTAACAATTCTTTATGGAGCAAATATGGAACATGTGCCAGGAAGTCCTTACCTGGTGCTTGTCGAATAAAAACTAGCCAAACCAGTTCAATTATGTTGCTTTCATATTATTTTTTGGTTTTTCTATTTTATGTTTATGAGTGATTGTTTTTTTTCCTTGAACGTATGTTTTGTTCTTTATTCTCTCAACCATCGAAACAGTGTATGTATATGTGTGTGTGTGTGAATTGCAAAAAAAGCAGAGTTGACGAAGAATAAATGAAAAACTGAATGAAAGAAAAGTGATTTAACATAGAAAAAACAACCATCAAGAAAAAAAGCAAAAACATAAAACAACTTTTGTTTTTCGTAGCCAAGTTTTAATAACGACAGTGTTGTGGTAAGTCAGTAAACATGATTAGAAATGAATAACTAAAACCAACTTTTTGTAGAACTAATTATTAGTACTATCACCATTATAATTTAGACATAATTACAATGAGTGGTCAATCTCAGACGAATTCTTTACCGCCAACAAGACCATCGGGTGAGCATGTTTACACGAAATTACAAGTACATTTCGGTGGTGATGTTCAAGATATTGTTTTAAAAACAGAGAAAGAACCAACATGTGGTGATTTGGCTAAAGTGCTACAGAATGCATATCGTATTTCAATTGATAATCAATTGATTTATTATCGTGGTCAACGACTTCATCATCGTCATCCATCATCGTATGATCGTGCTCTTTCAAAATATGGAATCTTTTCAGGCAATTTAGTTAAATTAGTTGGCAAACGTGGATTACTTTAAACAATTTCATATTTACTTTTATTCGAACATAACTAAATTGTAGAGTTCTTTTTTTGTGTGGAATGCCATTTAGAAAAACTGGAAGACAATGACTACTAGACATAATATCAGAAAAAAAACATTTTATATGTGTACATGAGTAGTAAATAATATGTTATTCTCTTATGGAAAGTTAGACGCACGAGTTAGACTATTGCATCACATTGTAGTAAACGTATAATGGACGGGTCTGATTTAGCACCTATGAATATATCCATTGACCTTTTTTGTAATGTTTAGTAAAATAAATATTACCTCGGATGAATTCTTCGCGCGTTAATTTCCCATCATGATCTGTATCAAACGAGTTAAATATCTTGAAGCAAATTATTAAAGTATTGATTTCTTTAGAATGTTAAATTTTACTTTATCAGTTCTTTTCTCAGGTGTTGATTCATCGTCAGGCATTTTCATAGCCGAACCCACCATTTGATAGATTGCCTAAAACACATATCTTAAAATAAATTTCATTTCTATATTTTAAGTTACAGTAATAATTTCAAGCATTTCGTCTTTTGTAATAAATCCATCTCCGTTTGTGTCATAAAGACCAAATGCCCAATTAAGTTTTTCTTCTAAATTTCCTTTAGATGTAATACTTAATGCAGTGAGAAATTCTCGAAACGATATTCGTTGATTACGATCGGCATCAAAACGTCGAAAAACATGTGCAGCAAAAGCTGAAGAATCACCAGACGGAAAAAATTGTGAATAAATTTTTTTAAATTCATCAGATGTCAACTGTCCATTTGGACAATCTTTATGAAAACATTTATACCATTCTTCTATAATATACAAACCAAAAAACAAGATTTATACCAATAAGGAAAAAGAATTATTTTATACTTACGAATTTCTGCATCGGTAAATGTCGTCATATGACGAAAGTAGTCTAAATCAGCTTGTCGAAGTTTACCAGGAGGTTTATTTCCCATGTGAATAAACTTAAAAGAAAAAAAAACACGAAGACAAGAAAATGATTTATTAATCTAATCATGATATTAAAATCATTTTCAACCATATGTATCCATACAGTAATAAATTGTCAAGTCCTATATAGAGCGAATAAGATAACAGTATCCGTATAATATTATCGATTAATAATAAATATATTTAATGATTGTAGTATGCAGTGCACTCTGTTGTTACTTCTTATTGGTTACGAGGGCAATCCATTCAAATTTATACGGTTTTTTTCTGTGAAGGTGTCGAATTTATCATTGCTGTACACATTTTCGAAGCAAAATAATTCTAAGACTGTACTACTGTTGTTACTCAATGTCAGTCAAAACATTCTTTTAACAAGTTCATAACTTTAATATTTACTGAAAAATCGATTATTTAAAAATTAGAAATTTAATTTGATACTTCTATTTAACAAAAACTGTAGCATATGAATACATGTCCTAACGCCGCTTAGCTACTCTAAATTTGATGTAAAAGGCTAAAACACTGTTTCTAGAAAGTCGTATTTTAAAAATTTAATTTGTTTACTTTGGAAAATTTACTTTAATTCTTACTCGGTAAGATATATTTTTAGTTAAATAGTTTATGAAGATCATTCACGAAGATGTGAATGAGTTTCATTTTATTTCCAACAATTCTATATGCATTGAATGAATATAAATATAATTTTTTTACTTAATTATTTGCAGATATTTCTTGACATGGTAGAAGATACAAAAGTAGACACCAGGAATGAGCCTGACAAGTCTCTTCTATCTGCTAATCTATCTTACCCAACACGTCCATATGTCGCTCAAATGCCTGGATTGATACGTATCATTGGTCATTACACAGATTCAGGTCGACCTATGCCAAAATCTGGCTCGCTTGAAGCAGAAACAGCTGTATTTAATCAACAAGAAGATGAACAAGAACAAAAACTTGTTTATAATAAAGATGTTCAACCAATAGAACGTATTAATCCATTTGTTCGTTGGCACAGACGATGGTATCATAGTAAAGTTGTTGATCCATCGCCCACTGTTGGTGTTTTTTATTCACCATTTAACATGGCTCTTGAACCTTGGGCTATGGGTTTAGGTGATATGGGATGTGCTAAATTATTTAAACAATATCGAATGTGTACACATATGGTAAAACTTTGAACATCATTTTTTATAGTAATACTATAAAGAGATTTTCCTTCTTTTGTTTGTTTGTAGATGCCAAGTACCCATCGATATTTATGTGAAGATGAAAAAGAAGATGTTAAAGAATGTATCCTTTCTCAAAAACGAGTAATAAACTATAAAAATTTGAATGAATTTATAACTATTTGTTACTTTTATTAGATTCTTCGCCATCAATATATGTATCAACATCGGTAAGAATAATTCTTTTAAATGATTTTTTTTACTAATTGAAATGTTTTTCGTTGTTATAGTGTTAAGAAAAATTTACCATTTCCAGAGGATCCATTAATCGATGGTTACAACTGGCCTTCGTTCAAATATTTGAATTGAACGAATTGTCTTTTCTTTTCCATTTCTCACTAACTATCCTGAGTTTGTATTTAGTTTTGATCTTGTTGTTTTTTCTCCATCAAATAAAGAATAGAAACCCTTTTGATTTAAATGATAAAACAATATTATATTATTTTAGATAGAATTATGGCATCATTTATACTTGGACGTGTGTTTCAACGTGGTTTTAGTCGAACAAATATGCAACATGCAATTCAACGACAACTTAATCAAAAAGGCGGTAAAGAAACGTTTAGAAAGCAAACATTTGTTTCTATTCTACTGATAAATTAATTTAGATCAAATATCATCAAAAAATAATATTGCAACGGCCATTGATGATTCACTTCAACATGATGATTTTTTCAATGTACGTTCAATGGTTACCATGGAAGATCTTTTCAAGTAGGTATGTTTGTAGAAATTTTCATTCGAAAAATAAACAAACATAAATCATTTTATTTTGAAAAATAAATAACAATCATTCGACTATAAAATATTTTTATAGAAATCGGGCTCATTATGGACATGTAACTGGAATGCGCAATCCATGGATGTCTCAATATATATACGGTCATCGATTAGATGTTGATATTATTGATTTAGATAAAACATTACCGATGTTGCATTCAGCATTAAACTTTCTTGCTCATATTGCTTATCGTCAAGGTATTATTTTATTTCTTACACGTTATCCAGCACATGTTCCACTTGTTGAACGTGCTGCACGTGATTGTGGTGAATATGCACATTGTCGTAAATGGGATTATCCATTTACAAATACTAAAGAACTTTTTGGATATGATATTCGTTTACCTGATGTATGCGTATTTACGCATACATTAGCACCACCAAATCAACTTCATCCAGGTGTTAGTGATTCGAATAAATTATTGATTCCAACTGTAGCTTTGTGTGACACAGATTCGAATCCAAATATTATCACTTATCCTATACCAAGCAATGATGATACACCAAAACTAATTGAATTCTATTTGACAATATTTCAACAAGCTATTATGGCTGGAAAAGAGAAAAGACGAGAAAAAGATTCATTGAATCAATAAAAATAAAATTGAAAAACACTGTTCATATGCGCTATTAATTCAGGAAAAAGAAAGGTTAAATAATAATTAAAATGAATTTCAAAATTGCAGAATTCACATTGTAGAGTAAATAAATATTTGACTTATTAGAATGTAAAAAGCTTTTTAAAGCAAAAATATGAATCTAGATTCCTAAGATAATCATCATAAAATGGCTTGATTTATTCGTCGAATTATAATCTAATCTATGTATAAAATAAGTCTTCATTTCTAGTGATACTTGAATTCAACATCGTACTAGTTGATTATAGTCTGGCTTCGCAGCAGTCCTATATATCCTGTATTTCCTATATTTTAAAAATTTATCCTATAATAGACTATATTTTGAGCTTTTTTCCTATATTCCTATTTTTTTTTGAAAAAATTGAAGATTCTTCTAAAAAAATTCAAAAAACTCCTGATAAGTGTTCAACACATCATTTAAATATTGTCAGTAACAATTTGTATGGCGCTTATTTCCTATTGGTTCATCTAGATAATGTATATAGTATACTCGTTGCATTAGTTGTCTTTGTACCAGTGTTTTATCCAGAATTTCTGAGTATGCTAGATCTCAGCGTCAGTGCATGAGACCTAGATGGAACTTATGAGGGGTCATATTGGAGCTAAGTAATGAGGTTTTGTGGTCAAAAGTTTGTGATTGTAGTTTGCGAAAACAAAATAATTTTTTTGCTTGCCCAACCGGCAAATGCTTTTAACCCTTTTTGGTATTCCGCCTTTCAGAATTTCATAGTAAGTTACATCAAATTTCATCGACAGATTTCAAATTTCATCGAAAAATAAGCATCCATTCAGGAGTTATAACGGTTTGAAATTTTGCTAAAATCTTGGCAGTATTTGAAAAAAATGCACAACGTTATAACTCCTGAATGGATGCTTATTTTTCGATGAAATTTGAAATCTGTCGATGAAATTTGATGTAGCTTACTATGAAATTCTAAAAGACTGAATACCAAAAAGGTGTGGGTGTGGGCGTGAGTATTTTGTTCAGAAACTCGCCCACACCCTAAAGTGCATGCATGTCCAATAGTGAAAATAGATCGAACATAAATTAGTTTTTTTATGTTTTAAGAAAATCTTGCTGCTCCATTACTTTTCAAAACTCAATAATATTTTTATTTAGCTGATTAGATATACGTGCAAAAACAGCACATTATCATCTTCAATGCTGTTGCAGTGATTTTTCGGTGTCTAAATCTTTTTCTGGAATAAATTTGTCATCCTATATTTTTCCTATATAGTTGAGGGCGATCCTATATATTTTAGACCTATCCTATATAGGAATTCCTGTATTTTTTGAGAGAGCCGCTGCGATGCCAGATTATAGTTTAGGCTAATTGTTTCTGAATGATAGCATAAATGCTGTTCTTCCGTTATCATGATACACTAAGACTGCCAATTTTAAAATGTAAATTTTATGTTTTGATTCGATCTCTATAATTAATTTTGTTTTATTGATACGAAAAAAAAAGTCATTTTTAATTAAAATAATATTATGATACACTGATGATATCTAAGCATGGATGCTATGCAATCTAATGTTATGTAAATTAGTCTGAATAGAATTGAGAATAGTGAGACGATTTCCTATCGTCTAATAACCCCTTCGTTTAATTTAACTTATCGTAGGAATTATTTCAAACTCTATTATACATCTCTGTTTTTTTAATTCGTTTTCCATGATAGCTCGATTATAGTATACTGCATTACGAGCAAGCTATTGATATTTATATGTGATATCAAATATTTGAAAAACACAACAAGCAGTGAAATTTATGAAATTATATCGTGTGCGTATCGACTCAAAATTAGAAGTTAACACTTATGAAAAGATCAAATTAATCATTTTTCTTGAGTTTCTCATTTGTAAGGATTGAGTACCGCGACATTGTCAAAAGTATTCTTATATGATTAACCAAATAGTGTGAAAAAACGTGAACGAATTAATGATGATCTACAGATTGATAAGAGTTTTTAAAATAGTCGTACATTAAAGTAGACTAAATAGTATAAATAACGTAGAACGATTTTTCAGCTTTTCTTAAGGAATTACAGCTTTTCTGTAGTAAAATTCATCAAAACACACAGTGAGAACAGAACAAGAAAATTTATTAAAAAGCCTCAAGAAGGCGTACTTATAATGTAACTTTTAAAATGATCTAACCACAACATCATTATGAGTTGCGGTATTCATTCGATTGAAGACCTGCTGTGCCATTGAAACCATAGAAAAATCATTGCCAGCGTTCACCAAAACAGCACCCAAATGTGTAGCATTGTAAATGAACTTTGCAATTGTGTCGTTGATGATTACAAACTATTTTTCAACTAAAACGTTACGAAAACAAGATTTTACAACCAAGATTCTAGTACCAAGCGATAACTAATTAGAAAGAAAAGTAATCTTTTTTTGTTTAATGTCGTTTCAACCACTTTAAAAGCCTTTCTCACATAGGTTAAACAATAGAGTGTGTACCTGAGATGTCCAAGGCGGCGCCTGCGGCAGCAGCTTTTCATGAAGAAAATTCATGAACTTGCACAGACTCGGTTATCATATATGATCAGGGTTACCAAATCTCCTGTTTTGACCAGGGATCTCCTGATTTTGCAACTTTTTTCCTGGCAAGAAATCTCCTGATTTCAGGAGCTGATTTTGAAACTTTTCTCCTGATTTCTCCTGATTTTTGTAATGTGACGATTAACTTCGTTTTGAACCTATAGGGATTTCCAAAAG